ACATAGAGATACATAGAGACACACAGAGATACAGAGACACATAGAGACACAGAGATACAGAGACACACAGATACATAGAGACACACAGACATAGAGATACATAGAGACACACAGAGATACAGAGACACAGAGACACATAGAGACATAGAGACACGTAGAGATACAGAGACACATAGAGATACATAGAGACACAGAGACGCATAGATATGCATAGAGACACAGAGATACACAGAGACACATAGAGACCCATAGAGACACACAGAGACACAGAGATACATAGAGACACAGAGACACATAGAGATACATAGAGACTCAGAGATACATAGAGACACATAGAGATACAGAGACACACAGAGATACATAGAGATACATAGAGACACAGAGACACACAGATATACATAGAGACACATAGAGACACATAGAGATACACAGAGACACATAGAGATACATAGAGACACATAGAGACACATGTAGATACATAGAGACACAAAGAGACACAGAGACACATAGAGATACATAGAGACACAGAGACTCATAGAGACACATAGAGGTACATAGAGATGCATAGATATGCATAGAGACATAGAGACGCATAGATATGCATAGAGACACAGAGATACACAGAGACACATAGAGATACATAGAGACACAGAGACTCATAGAGATACACAGAGACACACATATACATAGGGATACATAGAGACACATAGAGATACAGAGACACACAGAGATACATAGAGATACATAGAGACACAGAGACAGATATACATAGAGATACATAGAGATACATAGAGACACAGAGACTCACAGAGACTCATGGAGATAAATAGAGACTCATAGAGATACATAGAGACACATAGAGATACATAGAGACACAGAGACTCATAGAGACACATAGAGATACATAGAGATGCATAGAGACATAGAGACGCATAGATATGCATAGAGACACAGAGATACACAGAGACACATAGAGATACATAGAGACACAGAGACTCATAGAGATACACAGAGACACACATATACATAGGGATACATAGAGACACATAGAGATACAGAGACACACAGAGATACATAGAGATACATAGAGACACAGAGACAGATATACATAGAGATACATAGAGACACAGAGACTCACAGAGACTCATGGAGATAAATAGAGACTCATAGAGATACATAGAGACGCATAGAGATACATAGAGACATAGAGACACAGAGATACAGAGACACATAGAGACACAGAGGCACAGAGACACATAGAGATACATAGAGATACATAGAGATACATAGAGACACATAGAGATACATAAAGACACATAGATACAGAGACACACAGAGATACATAGAGATACATAGAGACACAGAGACACACAGATATACATAGAGATACATAGAGATACATAGAGGCACAGAGACTCACATAGACTCATAGAGATAAATAGAGACTCATAGAGATACATAGAGACGCATAGAGATACATAGAGACACATAGAGATACAGAGACACATAGAGATACATAGAGACACAGAGGCACAGAGACACATAGAGATACACAGAGATACATGGACATACATAGAGACACATAGAGATACATGAAGACACATAGATACAGAGACACACAGAGATACATAGAGACACATAGAGATACATAGAGATACATAGAGATACATAGAGATACATAGAGATGCATAGAGATACATAGAGACACATAGAGATACAGAGACACATAGAGATACATAGAGACACAGAGGCACAGAGACACATAGAGATACACAGAGATACATAGACATACATAGAGACACATAGAGATACATGGAGACACATAGATACAGAGACACACAGAGATACATAGAGACACAGAGGCACAGAGACACATAGAGATACATAGAGATACATAGAGATACATAGAGACACATAGAGACACATAGAGATACATAGAGACACATAGAGATACAGAGACACAGAGAGATACATAGAGACACATAGAGATACATAGAGACACACAGAGATACATATGGATACATAGATATACATAGAGGTGGTGACGGTGGTGACACTAGGCAGAGGTGGTGACGGTGGTGACGGTGGTGACGGTGACGGTGGTGGTGACGGTGGTGACGGTTGTGGTGACGGTGGTGATGGTGGTGACGGTGGTGATGGTTGTGGTGACGGTGGTGACGGTGGTGATGGTGGTGACGGTGGTGACGGTGGTGACGGTGGTGGTGACGGTGGTGACGGTGGTGGTGACGGTGGTGATGGTGGTGACGGTGGTGATGGTTGTGGTGACGGTGGTGATGGTGGTGATGGTTGTGGTGACGGTGGTGATGGTGGTGACGGTGGTGACGGTGGTGACGGTGGTGACGGTGGTGGTGACGGTGGTGATGGTGGTGACGGTGGTGATGGTTGTGGTGACGGTGGTGACGGTGGTGACGGTGGTGACGGTGGTGGTGACGGTGGTGATGGTGGTGACGGTGGTGATGGTTGTGGTGACGGTGGTGACGGTGGTGATGGTGGTGACGGTGGTGACGGTGGTGACGGTGGTGGTGACGGTGGTGATGGTGGTGACGGTGGTGATGGTTGTGGTGACGGTGGTGACGGTGGTGATGGTGGTGACGGTGGTGACGGTGGTGACGGTGGTGGTGACGGTGGTGACGGTGGTGGTGACGGTGGTGATGGTGGTGACGGTGGTGATGGTTGTGGTGACGGTGGTGATGGTGGTGACGGTGGTGACGGTGGTGACGGTGGTGGTGATGGTGGTGACGGTGGTGATGGTGGTGATGGTTGTGGTGACGGTGGTGATGGTGGTGACGGTGGTGACGGTGGCGCGAGGCAGAAATGGGGCGGTGGTCGTGGCTGTGGTGGTGGTGGCTACACGGGGTAGATCCCGTGTGCGTGTGTGCTTGTGTGTGTATGTGTGTGTGTGCTTGTGTGTGCGTGTGTGTGCGTGTGTGTGTGCTTGTGTGTGTGTGTGTGCGTGTGTGTGTGTGCGTGTGTGTGTGTGCTTGTGTGTGCGTGTGTGTGTGTATGTGTGTGTGCTTGTGTGTGTATGTGCGTGTGTGTGTGTGCGTGTGTGTGTGTGCTTGTGTGTGCGTGTGTGTGTGTATGTGTGTGTGCTTGTGTGTGTATGTGCGTGTGTGTGTGCTTGTGTGTGTATGTGTGTGTGTATGTGTGTGTGCTTGTGTGTGTATGTGCGTGTGTGTGTGCGTGTGTGTGTGCTTGTGTGTATGTGTGTGTGTATGTGTGTGTGCTTGTGTGTGTATGTGCGTGTGTGTGTGCTTGTGTGTGTATGTGTGTGTGTATGTGTGTGTGCTTGTGTGTGTATGTGCGTGTATGTGTGTGCGTGTGTGTGTGTGCTTGTGTGCGTGTGCGTGTGTGCGTGTGTGTGCGTGTGTGTGCGCTTGTGTGTGCGTGTGTGCGTGCTTGTGCGTGTGTGTGTGTGTGCGCGTGTGTGCGTGTGTGTGTGTTAGCGTGTGTGGTTGTATATGTGTGTGTGTGGAAGCTACCTGGTCTGTCGCTCCGCACTAAGCTTCAGGTCTTCTCGGCCACGGTCATTCCCTCCATTCTCTACGCTTGCGAAACGTGGACCCCCCTAATGGAACATCTTCGCTGGTTAGAAATATTTAGGCTGGCCTGCCTACGATCCATCCTGGGTTTAACCAGGCTGGATTGTGTGAGGAGCTCACAAATCCTTGAAAGATCTGGGCAAGGTCCCATTGGTGAGCTCCTCCGGCAGGCAAGCCTGCGATGGCTGGGTCATGTAGCCCGCATGCCCAGCCACCGCATGTCGAAACAGCTTTTGTTCGGCCGGATCGAGGGGGCTAAACGGGCGCGGCACGGGCTAGAGAAGAGATGGAGTGATGTGGTACAGGAGGACGTGGAGCTGAGTGGACTTGCCGATGACTGGTACCAGCGGTGTCAAGATCGGCCTCTGTGGAGGAGGCTCGTGAAGGACGCTACTGGGCAGTTGGAGGCAGTCGCCCTCCCAACAACAACGGAGGGTGGAGGAGCGACGCTCACAACAACTAGCGGAGCGCCGGGTGGCTAAAGCACAGCAGGTTGGCACAGTAGGGGGCACAGGTGGTGCATCAGCCAGCCATCTCAGTCATCCTAGTCAGTCGACCTGTGGCACTTGGGTCTGCCCCGTAACCTCCTGCCAGCGGGCGTTCGACACTTCACGTGGCCTCAAGGTGCACATGGCCTGGCACAAGCGTCGTGGTGACGTCACCGCCACTTAGTGGCGAATGGCGGTTGTTGTTGTTGTGTGTGTGTGTCTGTGTGTGTCTGTGTGTGTATGTGTGTGTGTGAAGTGTGTCTGCGTGTGTGATGTGTGTGTGTGTGTGATGTGTGTGTGATGTGTGTGTATGTGTGATGTGTGTATGTGTGTATGTGTGATGTGTGTGTGTGTGATGTCTGTGTGTGTGATGTGTGTCTGTGTGTATGTCTGTGTGATGTGTGTGTGATGTGTGTGTCTGTGTATGTGTGTGTGATGTGTGTGTGTCTGTGTGTGTGATGTATGTGATGTATGTGTGTGTCTGTGTGTCTGTGTGTCTGTGTGTGATGTGTGTGTGTGTGTCTGTGTGTGTGATGTGTGTATGTGTGTGATGTGTGTGTGATGTGTGTGTATGTGTGTGTGTCTGTGTGTGTGTGATGTGTGTGTGTGTCTGTGTGTGTGATGTATGTGATGTGATGTATGTGTGTGATGTGTGTGTGTCTGTGTGTGTGATGTATGTGATGTGTGTGTGTGTCTGTATGTGATGTGTGTGTATGTGTGTGTGTATGTGTGATGTGTGTGTGTCTGTGTGTCTGTGTGTGATGTGTGTGTGTGTCTGTGTGTCTGTGTGTGTGATGTATGTGATGTGTGTGTGTCTGTGTATGTGTGTGTGTGTGATGTGTGTGTGTGTGTGTCTGTGTGTGTGATGTGTATGTATGTCTGTGTGTGTCTGTGTGTGTGTGTGTATGTGTGTGTGATGTGTGTGTGTGTGTGATGTGTGTGTGTGCAGTGAGTTGAACTCGTTGCTGCAGGGCCTGGAGGCGCTTGGTCGGCTGTTCGAGCCTCCGCCCAGCACCCCGCTGGGGAAGGCTGCGAAGAGGGGCAGCCCCCCTCCCAGTACACAGGCACGCACACACACACACACGTACACACACACACGTACACACGTACACACACACACACACGTACACGCACGCACACACACACACACGTACACACACACACGTACACACACACACACGTACACACACACACGTACACACACACACGTACACACACACACACACATGTACACACACACACGTACACACACACACGTACACGCACGTACACATGTACACACACACGTACACGCACGTACACACGCACATACACACGCACGTACACACACACACACGTACACACGTACACACACGCACGTACACACACACACGTACGTACACGCACGTACACACACATACGTACGTACACACGTATACGCACGCACGTACACACGTACACACGCACGTACACACGCACGTGCACGCATGTACACACGCACACACGTACACGCACGTACACGCACGTACACGCACGCACGTACACGCGTACACACATACATGCACGCACGTACTGTACACACACGCATGTTTACGTACACGTACACACATGCTACACACGCGGTACACACGCGGTACACACGCACCAGCCCTGCATGTCCTCCTGTCTCCCGGTGTCCCGGCTCTTCCCGTGTCCCTGTCTCTCCCCATCTCTCCCCGTGTCTCCCCATGTCTCCCCATCTCTCCCCGTGTCTCCCCATGTCTCCCCATCTCTCCCCGTGTCTCCCCATGTCTCCCCATCTCTCCCCGTGTTTCCCGATGTATCCCCATGTCTCCCCATGTCTCCCGGTGTTTCCCCATGTCTCCCCATGTCTCCCCATGTCTCCCCATGTCTCCCTGTCTCTTCCCGTGTCTCCCCGTCTCTCCCCGTGTCTTCCCGTGTCTCACCGTGTCTCCCCATCTCTCCTCATGCCCCTGTCTCTCCCCGTGTCTCCCCGTTGTCTCCGTGTCTCCAGGAGGGTGACTTGGAGCTGCTGCTGCTGAAGCTCTCCTCTCTGCGCGAGGTTTTCTCCGGCACCGAGAAGAAGGTGGCCGAGTCGCGCCCCCTGGCGCACGCACGCACACACATCACACACACACACACATCACACACACACATCACACACACACACATCACACACACATCACACACACACATCACACACACACATCACACACACGCACATCACACACACACATCACACACACACACATTCACACACACGTCACACACACACATCACACACACACATTCACACACACATCACACACACACATCACACACACACATCACACACACACATCACACACACACACCACACACATCACACACATCACACACACATCACACACACATCACACACACATCACACACACATCACACACACACATCACACACACACATCACACACACACATCACACACACGCACATCACACACACACATCACACACACACACATTCACACACACGTCACACACACACATCACACACACACATCACACACACACATTCACACACACACATCACACACACACATCACACACACACATCACACACACACACCACACACATCACACACACACACATCACACACACATCACACACACACACACATCACACACACACACACATCACACACACACACACACATCACACACACACATCACACACACACACATTCACACACACATCACACACACACACATCACACACATTCACACACACACATCACACACACACATCACACACACACATCACACACACACGCACATCACACGCACATCACACACACATCACACACACACACATCACACACACACATCACACACACACATCACACACACGCACACACACGCACACACACGCACACACATGCACACACACACATCACACGCACACGCACGCACATATCACACTCACGCACACACACACATCACACGTACGCACTCACTCACACACACACACACTCGCACGCACACACGCGCTCACTCGCTCACTCGCACACTCGCACACTCACTCACACACGCACACACGCACACACACATAGACACGCACATACACACACATAGACACGCACACACACATGCACTCACTCGCACACTCACTCACGCACGCACGCACACACTCGCACTCACGCACACCTACGCACGCACGCACACACGCACTCGCACGCACGCACATACGCACGCACACGCACTCACGCACGGACTCACACGCATGCACTCGCACGCACGCGCACACACGCACACACACGCACTCGCATGCACACACGCACTCACACACTCATTCACGCACACACGCACACACGCACACACACGCACACACACACACGCACACGCACTCACACACGCACACACGCATAGACGCACTCACACACGCCTGCACACACACACACTCGCACTCACGCATGCATGCACACACGCGCACACACGCACGCGCACACACGCACGCACACACGCACTCGCACGCACACACGCACGCACTCACACTCATTCACGCACACACTCACTCACGCACACACGCACTCACACACGCACTCACACACGCACTCACACACGCATGCACACACGCATGCACACACACACTCACACTCACGCACGCACGCACACACTCGCACACACGCACACGCACTCACATATACACGCGCACACACGCACGCGCACACACGCACGCACACACGCACTCGCACGCACACACGCACTCACACTCATTCACGCACACACTCACTCACGCACACACGCACACACGTACTCACACACGCACTCACACACGCACTCACACACGCATGCACACACACACTCACACTCACGCACGCACGCACACACTCGCACACACGCACTCACACATACACGCACGCACACGCACTCACACACACGCACGCACTCGCACACTCACGTACTCACACGCCCTCACTCCCTCACACACTCACGCACACACTCGCACACACACCCTCACTCCCTCACACACTCACACACACACTCGCACACTCACGCACTCAATAGCGCACTCACACGCACACACACACACACACGTACACACACACTCACGCACACACTCGCACACTCACGCACTCAATAGCGCACTCACACGCACACACACACACACACGTACACACACACACACACGTACACACACACTCACGCACACACTCGCACACTCACGCACTCAATAGCGCACACACACACGTACACACACACACACGCACGCACACACACGTACACACACACGTACACACACACGCACGCACAGCGGCCACCTTTCGCACGTACGTGTGAGATGTGTGGCTTTGTGTGTTTGATGTGTGTGTGATGTGTGTGTGTGTGTGATGTGTCTGTGTGTGTCCATGTGTGTGTGAAGTGTGTCTGATGTGTGTATGTGTGTATCTGTGTGTGTGTATCTGTGCCAGGTGTTGATGTGTGATGTGTCTGCCTGTGAGTGTGTGTTTGTCTGTGGTGCTTGCTAACAGCATTTGCCCCAACAGTCTGTTCAGGCTATATGGAGGATTTGTCTTTGTGTGTCTCTGTGTGTGTGATGTTTCTGTGTGTGTGTATGTCTGTGTGTGTGTGTGTGATGTATGTGCCTGTATGTTGTGTCTGTGTGTATATGATGTCTGTCTTTGATGTGTGTGTCAGTGTGTGTTTGTGTCTGTGTGTGTGTGTGATGTGGCTGGGTGTGTGTGTATCAGGTTTTTATGCGCCGGTTAGAAACATTTAGGCTGGCCTGCCTATGATCCATCCTGGGTCTAACCAGGCTGGATTGTGTGAGGAGCTCACAAATCCTTGAAAGATCTGGACACATTCCCATTCGTGAGCTACTCCGGCAGGCAAGGCTGCGTTGGCTCATTCATGTAGCCCTTATGGCCAGCCACCGCATGCCCAAGCAGCTTCTTCTAAACGGCACAGCATGGGCTGGTGAAGAGATGGATTGATGCGGTACGGGAGGTTGTGGAGCTGAGTGGACTTGCCGATGACTGGTACCAGCGGTGTCAAGATCGGCCTCTGTGGAGGAGGCTCGTGAAGGACGCTACTGGGCAGTTGGAAGCAGTCGCCCTCCAGCAATAAAGGAGGGCGGAGGAGCGACGCTCACAACAATGAGCGGAGCGCCGGGTGGCTAGGGCACAGCAGGTTGGCACAGTAGGGGGCACAGGTGGTGCATCAGCCAGTCATCTCAGTCATCTCAGTCAGTCGACCCGTGGCACCTGGGTCTGCCCCGTGACCTCCTGCCAGCGGGCGTTTGACACTTCACGTGGCCTCAAGGTGCACATGGCCTGGCACAAGCGTCGTGGTGATGTCACCGCCACTTAGTGGCGAATGGCGGTTGTTGTTGTTGTTGTGTGTATGTTGATGTGTGTTGATGTGTCTGTGTGTTGATGTGTCTGTGTGTGTGTGTGTGTGTTGATGTGTCTGTGTGTTTGTGTGTGTGTGTGTTGATGTGTCTGTGTGTGTATGTTGATGTGTCTGTGTGTGTGTTGATATGTCTGTGTGTGTGTGTCTGTGTGTGTGTGTGTGTTGATGTGTCTGTGTGTCAGGTGTTGATGTATGGCGGTTGTTGTTGTTGTGTGTATGTTGATGTGTGTTGATGTGTCTGTGTGTGTGTGTTGATGTGTCTGTGTGTTTGTGTGTGTGTGTGTTGATGTGTCTGTGTGTGTATGTTGATGTGTCTGTGTGTGTGTTGATGTGTCTGTGTGTGTGTGTCTGTGTGTGTGTGTGTGTTGATGTGTCTGTGTGTCAGGTGTTGAGGTGTCTGTGTGTGTGTGTTGATGTGTCTGTGTGTGTGTGTTGATGTGTCTGTGTGTATGTGTTTATGTTTACCTCCTCGCGGTGCCGGACGGGCAACTCTGTCGTGGACAGTGCTGTGGGGGGAGATCCAATTTTGATTGGCTCCTCCCCTCATGGCTTATGTGTCCACCACAGGGGCTAAACAGGGGCTCTGGACGGGTGCGAGGGGCTGGTAACCCCTCCACCTTCAATTAATTACCACGAAACCACGAATTAAACTGAAATATGTAACTAATAAGCTTGTGCCGGAGGCCCGGGGGGCCAGGCGTCTATGACGTCTCCTGGCCAAACCCCAATTGGCGGAGCCAGGAGATTGAATACCTACCCTCGGGGCTACTCCAGAAACAACGAAAAGCCACTACGGGTGGCCACGTGGAATGTTCGAACGCTCACTGCAGAGGAGAGGCTGCCACTCCTCTGTCGGGAGCTGGACCGGTACCGCCTGGATCTATGCGGCATTCAGGAGGTCCGGTGGACCGGCTCTGGCTCCTGCCACCATGAGGGGTGGACAGTCCTCTACTCGGGGCAGCAGACTGCCAAACAACAGGGTGTGGGTCTTCTTTTGAACAAAAGAATGAAGGGGGCGTGGGAGCGTGGCGGTGAGGTGTGGGAAGCTGTAAGCCCCAGGCTACTTTGGGCTCGCCTTCCCATCAACCGGAGGCGAGGAATGGTGGTCGTGGTTACTTATGCCCCCACCGAAGATGAACATCCGTGGAGGGATGCAGGCAAAGCCGATGAGTCAGATGCCTTCTATGACCTCCTGTCACAGGTGCTGGCTAAAGTGGCCCCTCGGGATAGAGTCATCATGTTGGGTGACTTCAATGCCCGAGTTGGTCATGATACTGGCACCTGGTCTGGAGTGATTGGAGGGCATGGGCCAGATCAGCTCAATAACAACGGTAGGAGGCTGCTAGATTTTTGTGCAGCCCATGGGCTTGTAATTACCAACACGCTGTTCCAGCATCGGCGCATCCACACAACATCATGGATGCATGCCGGGTCCAAGCAAGAACATCTGCTGGACTACATAGTGACGGACCAGCGAATGCGAGCCCATGTCCTTGACACCAGGACCTACCGTGGAGCTGATCTGCCCTCTGACCATCGACTAGTCATCTGTAAGATGTGCCTGCCATTCTTCCACTCCGGTGGTGGGTGTACACCCAGGACCCCATTCCAACATAAAGTGGCCTGGTCTCAATTATCTGATGAAAGTTGCAAGCGAGAATTTCATCATCGCTTGCGGCTGGGATTGGCATTGTCCCCGACTCCTCCTGATGTCGAGGGTAAATGGGCGAGGTTTAGGACTGTGACTCATGCAGCTGCAATGGCTGCTTTGGGTACGCGGTCCAGACCTCCCCAGAGACCCTGGCTGACAGAGGAGGTGTTCAGGATGGTTGAGAAAAAGCGACAGGCCCACTGTCATCGGCTACAGAATCCCACGTCAGAGAATGAGGAGGCTTACCGCAGCCTTCGCTCGGAGGTTCGGAGAGCCGTGAGGCGCTGCAAGGATGGGTGGTGGTCGCGGGTTGCTGAGGAGATGGAGTCTGCCTCAGTGGCCCGTGATCACAAATCTCTATTTAACTCCATCAAAAAAGTAACCTGCAGCGCCACACCTATTACCATCATTAGGGGAAAAAACGGTGATCCAATCTCCGACCCCCAGGAACAGGTTCGCAGATTTGCTGAGCATTTCTGTGAGGTCCTGGGGGAGGGAAAATCCCTCAGCCAGGAAAACATCATGGGACAAAGTGAGGATGACCCTGCTGAGGCTGCGGTGCCTCAAATATTGGAAGAAGTCACCCCCTGTGAGTGGCTGGCTGAGGTGCCATCTGCTGAGGAAGTATTGAAGGCGATCCGGAGTCTGAGACCAGGAAAGGCAGCGGGCAGAGATGATCTCCCAAGCGAAATGCTGAGGGAGGGTGGCGTTTGTGCACAGACTGCCCTATATGACATCATAACAACAGTCTGGACCACCGGACGGGTTCCGCAGGATTGGAAGGATGCCCTGGTGGTCCCCCTTTTTAAGAAGGGGGACCGCACAGACTGTAACAACTACAGGGGAATCTCACTCCTCAGTGTGCCGGGAAAGGTCCTGGCAAGGATTATTCAGCATGGCCTTGCCAGACACGCTGAGGAGAGGCTTGCGGAGCCCCAATGTGTTTTCAGGAAAGGGCGGTCCTGCACAGATGCCATATTTTCTGTCCGTCTGCTACAGCAGAGGTGTAGGGAATTCCAGCAAGACCTACATCTCTGCTTTATTGACCTGGTCAAGGCCTATGATACCATCAGTGGGCCTGGGCTCTGGGTTGTTCTTCATGCTTTTGGAGTACCTGACCCTCTGCTCACGATCATTAAGGACCTTCATGATGGTGAGCGGGCCCGGGTAAAACTACGTGGCCGGGAGTCAGAGTCATTCCCTGTACATCTTGGGGTGCGACAGGGATGTCCTCTGGCTCCCACATTATTTAACATCTATTTTGACCAAGTAGTTCGTGAAGCTTTCAATAGCTGTACCGGGGGAATCTCCATATGGTACAGATATAATGGGAGGCTGATCGATGCCCGGGTGCGGTCAAGGGATGGCTCCCTATTGCTCAACCACGTTATGTATGCCGATGATTTGGTAATAGCTGCTCATTCAGAGGAGGAGTTGGAGACGCTGCTGCTGAGACTGGAGTGTGCCACTAAGAGATGGGGCCTTACCATCAGCCCCACCAAAACTAAGCACCTGCCTGGGTATTTTGTACCATCGGACACTCCACCCCCACAACTCCCAATCGGTGATGGGGCAGTTGTGGAGAGAATGGAGAGTTTCCCATACCTGGGCAGTGTGCTTATGACCGGCTCCAGTTTAACAGCAGAGGTCTCACTCCGAATCAGTCGAGCGGCAATATCTTTTCATCGGTTGCGTAACGCAGTGTGGAAGCTACCTGGTCTGTCGCTCCGCACTAAGCTTCAGGTCTTCTCGGCCACGGTCATTCCCTCCCTTCTCTACGCTTGCGAAACGTGGACCCCCCTAATGGAACATCTTCGCTGGTTAGAAACATTTAGGCTGGCCTGCCTACGATCCATCCTGGGTTTAACCAGACTGGATTGTGTGAGGAGCTCACAAATCCTTGAAAGATCTGGGCAAGGTCCCATCAGTGAGCTTCTCCGGCGGGCAAGGCTGCGATGGCTGGGTCATGTAGCCCGCATGCCCAGCCACCGCATGCCGAAACAGCTTTTGTTCGGCCGGATCGAAGGGGCTAAACGGGCGCGGCACGGGCTAGAGAAGAGATGGAGTGATGTGGTAAAGGAGGACGTGGAGCTGAGTGGACTTGCCGATGACTGGTACCAGCGGTATCAAGATCGGCCTCTGTCGAGGAGGCTCGTGAAGGACGCTACTGGGCAGTTGGAGGCAGTCACCCTCCAACAACAACGGAGGGCGGAGGAGCGACGCTCACAACAACGAGCGGAGCGCCGGGTGGCTAGGGCACAGCAGGTTGGCACAGTAGGGGGCACAGGTGGTGCAACAGCCACTCGTCTCAGTCATCTCAGTCAGTCGACCCGTGGCACTTGGGTCTGCCCCGTGACCTCCTGCCAGCGGGCGTTCGACACTTCACGTGGCCTCAAGGTGCACATGGCCTGGCACAAGCGTCGTGGTGACGTCACCGCCACTTAGTGGCGAATGGCGGTTGTTGTTGTGTGTATGTTGATGCGTGTGTGTGTTGATGTGTGTGTGTGTTGATGTGTGTGTGTGTATTTATGTGTGTGTGTGTTGATGTGTCTTTGTGTGTTTGTTGATGTGTCTATGTGTGCGTGTTGATGTGTCTGTGTGTGTGTTGATGTGTCTGTGTGTGTGTGTGTCTGTGTGTGTGTGTGTTGATGTGTCTGTGTGTCAGGTGTTGAGGTGTCTGTGTGTGTGTGTTGATGTGTCTGTGTGTGTGTTGATGTGTCTGTGTATATGTGTGTGTGTGTGTTGATGTGTGTGTGTGTGTTGATGTGTCTGTGTGTTGATGTGTATGTGTTGATGTGTCTGTGTGTGTGTGTGTTGATGTGTGTGTGTTGATGTGTCTGTGTGTTGATGTGTGTATGTGTTTATTTGTCTGTGTGTGTTGATGTGTCTGTGTGTCAGGTGTTGAGGTACCTGCAGGATCCGGCTCCCCCGCCCCCGCTGGGCCCTGCTCCCGTGAAGACGGTGCGGCGCTTCCGACTCATCCCCATACAGACGTTTGAGGTACAACCCACAGCAACAACCACAACAACAACCACAACAACAACAACCACAACAACAACAACCACAACAACAACAACCACAACAACAACAACCACAACAACAACAACCACAACAACCACCACCACAACAACAACCACAACAACAACAACCACAACAACAACCACAACAACAACAACCACAACAACAACAACCACAACAACCACAACAACCACCACCACCACAACAACAATCGACGTTCGCCACGAAGGGGCGGCGATGACACCACGGCGCATGTGCCAGGCTAGGTGCATAATTAAGTCACGTGACCAGGTGCCGTGGGTTGACTGCTGTGCCAGGCTAGGTGCATAAGGAAGTCACGTCACCAGGTGCCGTGAGTTGACTGCTGTGCCAGGCTAGGTGCATAAGAAAGTCACGTGACCAGGTGCCGTGGGTTGACTGCTGTGCCAGGCTAGGTGCATAAGGAAGTCACGTGACCAGGTGCCGTGGGTTGACTGCTGTGCCAGGCTAGGTGCACAAGGAGGTCACTGGACAGAGCCAGGTGCTATGGGAGCCATGGATTGACTGACCGAGATGACCGGCAGATCCACCACGTGTGCTGCCCACTCATAAAGACAAAGATCCCCCATGTAGCCTTGAAACAGACTGCAGGGGCAAGTGCTGTTAGTGAGTAGCACCTATGAAGGCCGGCACGGCACACGAGGGGGTGGCCAGCAGCATGCCCGACCGCCTTTGTCTCCCCAGTGGCGATGTTCACACACCGCTCCAGGTACTCATTTGAAGCTGACTCGACCTAGGGGAGGCCCAGGACCGGTTCGGATAATCGCCGCGAGTATTGGCCATGAGCGGGAGTCGAACTCGGGTGGCCAGGTTTGTAGTGCAGCACACGACCCGCTACACTACTGCCCCCCACACACTTATACACACACATGTGGACACACATAGACTCACACACAACAACAACAACCGCCATTCGCCACGAAGTGGCGGTGACGTCACCACGACGCTTGTGCCAGGCTATGTGCACGTTAAGGCCACGTGAAGTGTCGAACGCCCGGTGGCAGGAGGTCACGGGGCAGACCAGGGCATCTTTCCAATCCTGCGAAACCCGTCCAGTGGTCCAGACTGTTGTTATGATGTCATGTAGGGCAGTCTGTGCACAAATGGCTTCAGTACTTCCTCAACAGATGGTACTTCAGCCAGCCACTCACAGGGGGTGACTTCCTCCAATATTTGAAACACCGCAGCCTCAGCAGGGTCATCCTTACTTTGTGCCACGATGTTATCCAGGCTGAGGGATGTCCCCTCCCCCAGGACCTCACAGAATTGCTCAGCAAATCTGCAAACCTGTTCCTGGGGGTCGGAGATTGGATCACCGTTCTTTCCCCTAATGATGGTAATAGGTGTGGCGCTGCAGGTTACTTTTTTGATGGAATTAACAAGCGATTTTTGATCGCGGGCCACTGAGGCAGACTCCATCTCCTCAGCAACTCGCAACTACCACCCATCCTTGCAGCGCCTCATGGCTCTCCGAACCTCCAAGCGAAGGGTGCGGTAAGCCTCCTCATTCTCTGACGTGGGATTCTGTAGCCGATGAGATTGGGCCTGTCGCTTTTTCTCAGCCAGCTTGAACACCTCCTCTGTCAGCCAGGGTCTCTGGGGAGGTCTGAACCATGTACCCAAAGCAGCCATTGCAGCTGCATGAGCCGCAGTCCTAAACCTCGCCCATTTCCCCTCGACATCAGGAGGAGTGGGGGACGATGCCAACCCCAGCCGCATGTAATGATTGAATTCCTTCCTGCAACTTTCATCAGCTAGCTGAGACCATACCACTATGGGTTTGAATGGGGTCCTGGGTGTACACCCACCACTGGAGTGGAAGAATGGCAGGCGCATCTTACAGATGACGAGTCGATGGTCAGAGGGCAGATCAGCTCTCCCCCCACAGCACTGCCCACGACAGAGTTGCCCGTCCGGCACCGCGAGGAGGTAGGGGGTTGTTTTGCCGGACCAGACGCACTCACTCACACACTCACTCGCACACTCACTCGCACACTCACTCGCACACTCACTCACACACTCACTCGCGCACTCACTCGCACACTCACTCACACACTCACTCACACACTCACACACTCACATGCTCACTCACTCACACACCCACTCACACACTCACTCACACACTCACTCACACACTCACACACTCACTCACACACTCACACGCTCACTCACTCACACACTCACTCACACACTCACACACTCACTCACACACTCACTCACACGCTCACTCACTCACACACTCACTCACACACTCACACGCTCACTCACTCACACACTCACTCACACACTCACTCACACACTCACTCGCACACTCACTCGCACACTCACACGCTCACTCACTCGCACACTCACTCACACACTCACTCGCACACTCACACACTCACTCACACACTCACTCACACGCTCACTCACACACTCACTCACACACTCACACGCTCACTCACTCACACACTCACACGCTCACTCACACACTCACACGCTCACTCACACACTCACTCACACACTCACTCACACGCTCACTCACACACTCACGCTCACTCACACACTCACACGCTCACTCACACACTCACTCGCACACTCACACACTCACACGCTCACTCACTCACACACTCACTCACTCACACACTCACTCACACACTCACTCACATGCTCACTCACACACTCACACGCTCACTCACTCGCACACTCACTCACACACTCACTCACACACTCACTCACACACACACTCACACGCTCACTCACACACTCACACACTCACTCACACACTCACACACTCACTCACACACTCACTCACTCGCACACTCACTCACACACTCACTCACACACTCACTCACACACACACTCACACACTCACACGCTCACTCACACACTCACACACTCACACACTCACTCACACACTCACACACTCACTCACACGCTCACTCACACGCTCACTCACACACTCACTCACACACTCACACACTCACTCACACGCTCACTCACTCACACACTCACTCACACACTCACTCACACACTCACACGCTCACTCACACACTCACTCACTCACACACTCACTCACACACTCACTCACACGCTCACTCACACACTCACTCACACACACACTCACACACTCACTCACACACTCACTCGCACACTCACTCACTCACACACTCACTCACACACTCACTCACACACTCACACGCTCACTCACTCACACACTCACACGCTCACTCACTCACACACTCACACGCTCACTCACTCACTCACACACTCACCCACACACTCACTCACTCACACACTCACTCACACACTCACTCACACACTCACACACTCACTCACACACTCACTCACACGCTCACTCACACACTCACTCACACGCTCACTCACACACTCACTCGCACACTTACTCACACACTCACTCACTCACACACTCACTCACTCACACAACAACAACAACCGCCATTCGCCACTAAGTGGCGGTGACGTCACCACGACGCTTGTGCCAGGCTATGTGCACCGTGAGGCACTCACACACTCACACGCTCACTCACACACTCACACGCTCACTCACTCACACACTCACTCACACACTCACACACTCACTGTAACCCCCGTGTGTGTGTGCCTGCTGCAGGTGAAGCTGGACGTGGGTCTGGCCGACCTGGCGAAGATCGGCAAGTCTCAGCGCTACGAGCTGCAGGTGGACGTCGAGGGGGGGAGGCTCCTCGTCCTGCGCAAAAACAAGGAGTCGGCCGAGGAGGTGCTCATCTTCTCACACGACAAAGGTGAGGAGGAGGAGGAGGAGGAGGGAGAGATGAGGGGGAAGGGGGGGGGAGGAGGGGGGAGGGGGGGTGGGAGGGAGGGGGGAACAGTAGGAGAGAGGAAGAGGCAGGAGGAGGAGGGGGGATGAGGAGGAGGGGGAAGGAGGAGGGGGGAGGGAGGGGGAAGGGGGGGAGGAGGAGGGGGGGAGGAGGAGGGGGGAGGGGGAGGAGGAGGAGGGGGGAGGAGGAGGGGGGCGAAGGAGGAGGTCCTCATCAGGGGTGAGGACCTCCTCCTGGTGTAGCGCTGCGCAGTAAACATCGCCACTGGGGAGACAAAGGCGGCCGGGCGTACTGCTGGCCACCCCGGTGCGCGGCCGTGCCTCCCCGCACAGCTGCGCCAGCTCGCCATGGCAGCCCTTGCTGCACGATGTGGGTCGTGGGTGAACGCCTGCCTGTGCACAGTGCGGCAGCTGATCAAGTCCCAGCGAGCGCAGTCCAAGCTGGGCATCGTGTTGGAGCGCGAGCGCGAGCGGACGCAGCGCCGGGACTACGCCTTCGCGAGCCCGCGGGTGAGTGACCGCCACAGCCCGGCGACGTGCGGCGAGGCCGGTGGCTGGGGAGGCACTGGCGAGTGTCGGAGCCAGATTCACACGCTGAGGGGGGGGCGTGGCCTCACTGATGGGGCGTGGCCTCACGGATGGGGCGTGGTCTCACGGAGGGAGGCGTGGCCTCACGGATGGGGCGTGGCCTCACGGAGGGGGGCGTGGCCTCACAGATGGGGGCGTGTTAGACACGTGTTAGACACGTCCCCCTTCAGTGAGGCAGATGTGATAGCTGCCTCCCCCCGGTGCTTCTTCATTGCAGTTTCATGACGAGACCAGCGAGCCTGAATTTGTTTATGCACGTAATACGTGCAATAAGTTACCTGGAGTATGGGAAGGCGAGGACATGTAATGAAGGGGTCTACAAACATTACGTTGGTGACATACTGAGAGATAGTAACAGGCACGTGCTTATTGCCCACGTTCCATCCAGTTACTGAGGGGTTGCGCAATCACAGGGGAGGCTGAGCTCGCCGCTGCCTCACCTCTCGCCTCTCCCTGTATTTGCAGCGGAGCTCCACCAATTTGGCGATTTTGACCCTGAAAATGATTGGAATCGTACAGAAATGACATTTACAACACAGATCGGTGGCAAAAAAACATCTCATTATTTATTTAATTTAATTCTTATTTTTCTTTTTTACTTTTCGTTAACAGCTATTTCCATTGGAGTGTGACAGGTCAGGCTCTGCCTCCCCTGACCTCCGCTGACCTCCGCAGACCTCCGCTGAACGCACGTCCCTGGCAGAGGGTTGGGGGGGGCGGTCCCCCAGGTAGCCTCGACAAAGACTGTTGGGGGTCGGGGGCAAGTGCCGTTAACGGACAGTCGCTTAGTCACGCGCGGCCGTCCGGAACGCTCTCTTCCTTTCCGATATTAGGCAGCCGCTGGGAGCTGCACTTTTAAATCATCATCGTCATCAACGTCGTCATCATCGTCGTGTGTGACAAACTCATTTCTTTAGGACTGCTCGTTGTGCGTAGTTTGTTGTCCTTCCCCCGCACCTCCGATTAGCGCGTTTGGCTACGTACGGTGCCAAGCCAGTTCAACGTACACGCACGCGCACACATACACCCGGAGACAAAAGTCACCCGTATAGCCTTGTAGGGCAAGTGCTGTTTAGCGAGTAGCTCCTATGAAGGCCGGCACGTACACACACTCATACACAGTCGCCCTTTCAGATGTGCTTGGAACGCTCTTCCTTCTGACAATGGAGCTATGCACTTTTAAATAATTTACATGAAAAAACTTACGTCTTTAGAACTGATTTTTGTGTTTAGTTTGCCGCTCTTACCCTGCACCTCCGATTAGCACGGTTGACTACATACAGCGCGAAAGAAGTTCAACATACATACCTAACGACACACACAACGCTCACCACGTGACCACAGACACCACGCACACACACCACAGACACCACACACAGACACCAAAGACACCACACACACCACACACAGACACCACGCACACACCACACACACGCCACAGACACCACACACATGCCACAGACACCACACACAGACACCAAAGACACCACACACACACACCACACACAGACACCACACACACGCCACAGACACCACACACACACCACAGATACCACACACACACCACACACACACACACCACAGACACCACACACAGACACCAAAGACACCACACACACGCCACAGACACCACACACACACCACAGACACCACACACAGACACCAAAGACACCACACACACACACCACACACAGACACCACACACACGCCACAGATACCACACACACCACAGATACCACACACACACCACACACACACCACAGATACCACACACACACCACAAACACACCACAGACACCACACACACATACCACACACACCACACACACACACACCACAGACACCACAGACACCACACACACACCACACACACACACCACAGACAGACACCACATACAGACACCACAGACACCACACACACACACCACAGACACCACACACACACCACACACACGCCACAGACACCACACACACACCACAGACACCACACACACACCACACACACCACAGATACCACACACACCACAGATACCACACACACACACCACAGATACCACACACACACACCACAGGCACCACACACAGACACGACAGACACCACACACACACCACAGATACCACACACACACCACACACACACCACACACACACCACAGATACCACACACACATGCCACAGACACCAAACACACACGCCACAGACACCACACACACACGCCACAGACACCACACACACCACAGATACCAAACACACCACAGATACCACACACACACCACAGACACCACACACAGACACCAAAGACACCACACACACGCCACAGACACCACACACACACCACAGACACCACACACAGACACCAAAGACACCACACACACACACCACACACAGACACCACACACACGCCACAGACACCACACACACCACAGATACCACACACACACCACACACACACCACAGATACCACACACACACCACAAACACACCACACACACACCACAGACACCACACACACATACCACACACGCCACACACACACACACCACAGACACCACAGACACCACACACACACCACACACACACACCACAGACAGACACCACATACAGACACCACAGACACCACACACACACACCACAGACACCACACACACACCACACACACGCCACAGACACCACACACACACCACAGACACCACACACACACCAGACACACCACAGATACCACACACACCACAGATACCACACACACACACCACAGATACCACAAACACACCACAGGCACCACACACAGACACGACAGACACCACACACACACCACAGATACCACACACACACCACACACACACCACAGATACCACACACACATGCCACAGACACCAAACACACACGCCACAGACACCACACACACACGCCACAGACACCACACACACCACAGATACCAAACACACCACAGATACCACACACACACCACAGACACCACACACAGACACCACAGACACCACACACACACCACACACAGACACCACAGACACACCACACACACACCACACACACACACCACACACACACCACAGATACCACACACACCACAGACACCACAGACACCACACAGCACACCACACACACACCACACACACACCACAGATACCACACACACACCACACACACAACACACACACCACACACACACCACACACACACCACAGACACCACACACACACCACACACACACCACACACACAACACACACACACCACAGACACCACACACACACCACACATACACCACACACACACCACACACACACACCACACACACACACCACACATACACCACACATACACCACACACACACCACACACACACCACACACACACCACACACACACACCACACACACACACACCACACACACACCACACACCACACACACACCACACATACACCACACACACACACCACACACACACACACCACATGCACACCACACACCACACACCCCACACCACACACACCCCACACACTCCACACACACACACACCATACACACACAGCCACACACACACTACACACACACACACCACACACACACCACACACACACACCACACACACCACACACACCACACACACACACCACACACACCACACACACACACCACACACACCACACACACCACACACACACACACACCACACACACCACACACACACCACACACACCACACACACCACACACACACACCACACACCTCACACACACCACACACACACCACACACACACACCACACACCTCACACACACCACACACACACCACACACACACTACACACACACACCACACACACACCACACACTCCACACACACACTCCACACACCACACACACACACCATACACACACACCACACACACACACAGCCACACACACACCACACACACACACACCACACACACACCACACACACACACACACCACACACACCACACACACACACCACACACACACCACACACACACACACACACCACACACACACCACACACACCACACACACACACCACACACACACCACACACACACCACACACACCACACACACCACACACCTCACACACACCACACACACACCACACACTACACACACACACCACACACACACACCACACACATACACCACACACACACCACACACACCACACACACACATCACACACACCACACACACACACACCACACACACCACACACCACACACATCACACACACCACACACACCACACGCACACACACACACACACATCACACACACCACACACACACACACCACACACACACCACACACCCCACACCACACACACCCCACACACTCCACACACACACACTCCACACACCACACACACACACCACACACACACCATACACACACCACACACACACACAGCCACACACACACCACACACACACACACCACACACACACCACACACACACACACCACACACACCACACACACCACACACACACACACACCACACACACCACACACACCACACACACACACCACACACACCACACACACACCACACACACACACCACACACCTCACACACACCACACACACACACCACACACACACTACACACACACACCACACACACACACCACACACACACACACCACACACACACACCACACACACACCACACACACACCACACACACACCACACACTCCACACACCACACACACACACCATACACACACCACACACACAGCCACACACACACCACACACACACACACCACACACACACCATACACACACACCACACACACACACAGCCACACACACACCACACACACACACACCACACACACACCACAGACACACCACACACACCACACACACCACACACACACACCACACACACCACACACACACACCACACACACCACACACACCACACACACACCACACACACCACACACCACACACACACACACCACACCTCACACACACCACACACACACCACACACACACTACACACACACACACACACCACACACACACCACACACACACACACCACACACACACACCACACACACCACACACTCCACCCACACACACCACACACTCCACACACACACTCCACACACCACACACACACACCAGACACACACACCACACACACACACCACACACACACCAAACCACACACACCACCCACACACACCACACACACCACACACACACCACACACACACACCACACACACACCACACACACCACACACACCACACACCACACACACACACCACACACCTCACACACACCACACACACACCACACACTACACACACACACCACACACACACCACACACATACACCACACACACACACCACACACACACCACACACACACATCACACACACCACACACACACACACCACACACACCACACACCACACACATCACACACACCACACACACCACACGCACACACACACACATCACACACACCACACACACACCACACACCCCACACCACACACACCCCACACACTCCACACACACACACTCCACACACCACACACACACACCACACACACACACCATACACACACACCACACACACACACAGCCACACACACACCACACACACACACCACACACACACCACACACACACACACCACACACACCACACACACCACACACACACACACCACACACACCACACACACCACACACACCACACACACCACACACACACCACACACCACACACACACACCACACACCTCACACACACCACACACACACCACACACACACTACACACACCACACACACACACCATACACACACACCACACACACACACACAGCCACACACACCACACACACACAGTCACACACACCACACACACACAGTCACACACACCACACACACCACACACACACCACACACACCACACACAAACCACACACACACCACACACACACCACACACACCACACACACACACCACACACCTCACACACACCACACACACACCACACACTACACACACACACCACACACACACACCACACACATACACCACACACACACCACACACACCACACACACACATCACACACACCACACACACACACACACACACCACACACACACATCACACACACCACACACACCACACGCACACACACATCACACACACCACACACACACACACCACACACACCACACACACACACCACACACACACCACACACACACACCACACACACACACCACACACACACACTACACACCACACACACACACTACACACACACACATCACACACACCACACACACACACTACACACACACACATCACACACACCACACACACATGCCTCTTAACCATGACGCCTGTGCCAGGATAGGTGCCTGCGCCCTCCGTCCGGCCATCCGTCTGTGTGTACGTGTGTCTGTGTGTGTCTGTGTGTACGTGTGTCTGTGTGTCTGTGTGTACGTGCGTCTGTGCGTGTGTCTGTGTGTCTGTGTGTACGTGTGTCTGTGTGTACGTGTGTCTGTGTGTCTGTGTGTACGTGCGTCTGTGCGTGTGTCTGTGTGTCTGTGCGTGTCTGTGTGTACGTGTGTCTGTGTGTCTGTGTGTACGTGTGTCTGTGTGTACGTGTGTCTGTGTGTACGTGTGTCTGTGCGTGTCTGTGTGTACGTGTGTCTGTGTGTACGTGTGTCTGTGTGTACGTGTGTCTGTGTGTGTCTGTGTGTACGTGTGTCTGTGTACGTGTGTCTGTGCGTGTACGTGTGTCTGTGCGTGTCTGTGTGTACGTGTGTCTGTGCGTGTCTGTGTGTACGTGTGTCTGTGTGTACGTGTGTCTGTGCGTGTCTGTGTGTACGTGCGTCTGTGCGTGTCTGTGTGTACGTGCGTCTGTGCATACGTGCGTCTGTGTGTCTGTGTGTACGTGTGTCTGTGCGTGTCTGTGTGTACGTGTGTCTGTGTGTCTGTGCGTGTCTGTGTGTACGTGTGTCTGTGCGTGTCTGTGTGTACATGCGTCTGTGCGTACGTGCGTCTGTGTGTCTGTGTGTCTGTGCGTGTCTGTGTGTACGTGTGTCTGTGCGTGTCTGTGTGTACGTGCGTGTCTGTGTGTACGTGTGTCTGTGCGTGTCTGTGTGTCTGCGTGTCTGTGTGTATGTGTGTCTGTGCGTGTCTGTGTGTACGTGTGTCTGTGCGTGTCTGTGTGTCTGTGTGTGTCTGTGTGTACGTGTGTCTGTGCGTGTCTGTGTGTCTGTGTGTACGTGTGTCTGTGCGTGTCTGTGTGTACGTGTGTCTGTGCGTGTCTATGTGTCTGTGTGTCTGTGCGTGTCTGTGTGTACGTGTGTCTGTGCGTGTCTGTGTGTACGTGTGTCTGTGCGTGTCTGTGTGTCTGTGTGTCTGTGCGTGTCTGTGTGTCTGTGTGTCTGCGCGTGTCTGTGTGTACGTGTGTCTGTGCGTGTCTGTGTGTCTGTGCGTGTCTGTGTGTACGTGTGTCTGTGCGTGTCTGTGTGTCTGTGTGTGTCTGTGCGTGTCTGTGTGTACGTGTGTCTGTGCGTGTCTGTGTGTGTCTGTGTGTACGTGTGTCTGTGTGTGTCTGTGTGTACGTGTGTCTGTGCGTGTCTGTGTGTACGTGTGTCTGTGCGTGTCTGTGTGTCTGTGCGTGTCTGTGCGTGTCTGTGTGTCTGTGCGTGTCTGTGTGTCTGTGCGTGTCTGTGTGTACGTGTGTCTGTGCGTGTCTGTGTGTGTCTGTGCGTACGTGTGTCTGTGCGTGTCTGTGTGTACGTGTGTCTGTGCGTGTCTGTGTGTACGTGTGTCTGTGCGTGTCTGTGTGTACGTGTGTCTGTGTGTACGTGTGTCTGTGTGTACGTGTGTCTGTGCGTACGTGTGTCTGTGCGTGTCTGTGTGTACGTGCGTCTGTGCGTGTCTGTGTGTACGTGTGTCTGTGTGTACGTGTGTCTGTGCGTGTCTGTGTGTACGTGTGTCTGTGCGTGTCTCTGTGTACGTGTGTCTGTACGTGTGTCTGTGTGTACGTGTGTCTGTACGTGTGTCTGTGCGTGTCTGTGTGTCTGTGCGTGTCTGTGTGTCTGTGCGTGTCTGTGTGTCTGTGTGTGTCTGTGCGTGTCTGTGTGTACGTGTGTCTGTGCGTGTCTCTGTGTACGTGTGTCTGTACGTGTGTCTGTGTGTACGTGTGTCTGTACGTGTGTCTGTGCGTGTCTGTGTGTCTGTGCGTGTCTGTGTGTCTGTGCGTGTCTGTGTTTGGGGATCGGTGGTGCAGCGGTTTAGCGAGTTCGATTTCCGCTCACGGCCAACACCACCGGTGACGATTATCTGAACCGGTACTGTGCCTCCCCTAGGTCGACTCGGCCTCAAATAAGTACCGGGTGCGGTGTGTAGTGAACATCGCCACTGGGGAGACAAAGGCGGCCGGGCGCGGTGCTGGCCACCCACCTCCTCGTGTGCCACAGTGCCGGCCTTCATAGGTGCCACCAGCTAGCAGCACTTGCCCCGACAGTCTGTGAAGGCTACACGGGGGGTCTTTGCATCTGTGTGTTCCACACACACACACGGATACGCACGTGCATGCAAAGGTGGCCGGGCGCGGTTCCAGCCCCACTCCCGGGCCCCAAGCCTCCGTAGATGCTACTACTCGCCAACGGCACTTGCCCCCGGCAGTCTGTGACGAGGCTACCTGGGGGACCTTTGTCTGTGTTTGTTTGCGGTGGTGGTGGTGGGGCAGAAGCGCGAGGCGTTCTGTCAGCTGATGCAGCAGATGAAGTCGCGGCATTCCAAGCAGGACGAGCCAGACCTCATCTCCATCTTCATCGGCACCTGGAACATGGGTGACGCGCGCACACACGCACACACACGTACACACGCACACACGTACATACATGTACACGCGCACACGCACAGACACACGTACACACACGTACTTACACGTACTCGCACACACGCGCACACACGCACACAGACACGCACACACACACACACACGCACGTACACACACGTACATACATGTACACGCACACACGCGCACACACGTACATACATGCACACGCACGCAGACACACGTACACACACGTACACACACGTACATACATGTACACGCACACACGCACACAGACACGCACACAGACACGCACACAGACACGTACACATGCGCACGCACACACGTACACACACACACGTACACATGCACGTACACACACACACGCACATACGCACATACGTACACACACACACGCACATACGCACGTACACACACGTACACATGCACGCACACACGTACACAGACACACGCACACACGTACACACACACACGTACACATGCACGTACACATACACACGCGCACATACGCACGTACACACACACAGACAATCGTACACACACGCACGTACAGTGAGGGAAAAAAGTATTTGATCCCCTGCTGATTTTGTACGTTTGCCCACTGACAAAGAAATTATCAGTCTATAATTTTAATGGTAGGTTTATTTGAACAGTGAGAGACAGAATAACAACAACAAAATCCAGAAAAACGCATGTCAAAAATGTTATACATTGATTTGCATTTTAATGAGGGAAATAAGTAGTTGACCCCTCTGCAAAACATGACTTAGTACTTGGTGGCAAAACCCTTGTTGGCAATCACAGAGGTCAGACGTTTCTTGTAGTTGGCCACCAGGTTTGCACACATCTCAGGAGGGATTTTGTCCCACTGTTCTTTGCAGATTTTCTCCAAGTCATTAAGGTTTTGAGGCTGACATTTGGCAACTCGAACCTTCAGCTCCCTCCACAGATTTTCTATGGGATTAAGGTCTGGAGACTGGCTAGGCCACTCCAGGACCTTAATGTGCTTCTTCTTGAGCCACTCCTTTGTTGCCTTGGCCGTGTGTTTTGGGTCATTGTCATGTTGGAATACCCATCCACGATCCATTTTCAATGCCCTGGCTGAGGGAAGGAGGTTCTCACCCAAAATTTGACGGCACATGGCCCCGTCCATCGTCCCTTTGATGCGGTGAAGTTGTCCTGTCCCCTTAGCAGAAAAACACCCCCAAAGCATAATGTTTCCACCTCCATGCTTGACGGTGGGGATGGTGTTCTTGGGGTCATAGGCAGCATTCCTCCTCCTCCAAATACGGCGAGTTGAGTTGATGCCAAAGAGCTCCATTTTCGTCTCATCTGACCACAACACTTTCACTCAGTTGTCCTCTGAATCATTCAGATGTTCATTGGAAAACTACAGACGGGCATGTATATGTGCTTTCTTGAGCAGGGGGACCTTGCGGGCGCTGCAGGATTTCAGTCCTTCACGGCGTAGTGTGTTACCAATTGTTTTCTTGGTGACTATGGTCCCAGCTGCCTTGAGATCATTGACAAGATCCTCCCGTGTAGTTCTGGGCTGATTCCTCACCGTTCTCATGATCATTCCAACTCCACGAGGTGAGATCTTGCATGGAGCCCCAGGCCGAGGGAGATTGACAGTTCTTTTGTGTTTCTTCCATTTGCGAACAATCGCACCAACTGTTGTCAACTTCTCACCAAGCTGCTTGGCAATGGTCTTTTAGCCCATTCCTGCCTTGTGTAGGTCTACAATCTTGTCCCTCACATCCTTGGAGAGCTCTTTGGTCTTGGCCATGGTGGAGAGTTTGGAATCTGATTGATTGATTGCTTCTGTGGACAGGTGTCTTTTATACAGGTAACAAGCTGAGATTAGGAGCACTCCCTTTAAGAGTGTGCTCCTAATCTCAGCTTGTCACCTGTATAAAAGAAACCTGGGAGCCAGAAATCTTTCTGATTGAGAGGGGGTCAAGTACTTATTTCCCTCATTAAAACGCCAATCAATTTATAACATTTTCGACATGCGTTTTTCTGGATTTTGTTGTTGTTATTCCGTCTCTCACTGTTCAAATACACCTACCATTAAAATTACAGACTGATCATATCTTTGTCAGTGGGCAAACGTACAAAATCAGCAGGGGATCAAATACTTTTTTTTAACTCGCTGTGCATACATGCGCGCACACACACACACACGTGCGCACACACGCACACGCAGGTACGAACACACGCACGCACACACGAACACACACACGCACACACGAACACACGCACGCAGGTACGAACGCACACACGCACACACGCACGCACACACGCACACACGAACACACACACGCACACACGAACACACGCACGCAGGTACGAACGCACACACGCACACACGCACGCACACACGCACACACGAACACACACACGAACACACGAACACACGCACGCACAGCAGAGCACAGCCGCTAAACCCCCATGCGGTGTCTTCTCGTTGACCCCCCCGTGCGAGCGAGTCTCCGACCCCCCGGGGTCACAAGGTCACGGCACCGTAGGTGCTCGTCATCACAGCCGTCGTTATCACGAGTGCAGTATATAGTCTGTTGTTGTCCTGCACCTGCAATTAGCGCGGGTTGGCTACGTGGGGTGTGAAAGAAGTTCAACGCACCTACACCACTACTGTACCACCAACACCACACCACCACTACCACCATACATACACCACCACTACCACCATACATACACCACCAGTATACCACCAACACCACACCACCACTACCACCATACATACACCACCAGTATACCACCAACACCACACCACCACTACCACCATACATACACCACCAGTATACCACCAACACCACACCACCATACATACACCACCAGTATACCACCAACACCACACCATCACTACCACCATACATACACCACTACTGTACCACCAACACCACACCACCAATACCACCATACATACACCACCAGTATGCCACCAACATCACACCACCACTACCACCATACATACACCACCACTACCACCATACATACACCACCAGTATACCACCAACACCACACCACCACTACCACCATACATACACCACCAGTATACCACCAACACCACTCCACCACTACCACCATACATACACCACCAGTATACCATCAACACCACACTACCACTACCACCATACGTACACCACTACTGTACCACCAACACCACACCACCACTACCACCATACATACACCACTACTGTACCACCAACAGCACACCACCACTACCACCATACATACACCACCAGTATACCACCAACATCACACCACCAATACCATCATACATACACCACCAGTATACCATCAACACCACATCACCACTACCACCATACATACACCACTACTGTACCACCAACAGCACACCACCACTACCACCATACATACACCACCAGTATACCACCAACATCACACCACCAACACCACCATACATACACCACCAGTATAACACCACACCACCACTACCACCATACGTACCCCACTACTGTACCACCAACACCACACCACCACTACCACCAACACCACACCACCACTACCACCATACATACACCACTACTGTACCAACAACAGCACACCACCACTACCACCATACATACACCACCAGTATACCACCAACACCACACCACCACTACCACCATACATACACCACTACTGTACCACCAACAGCACACCACCACTACCACCATACATACACCACCAGTATACCACCAACATCACACCACCAACACCACCATACATACACCACCAGTATAACACCACACCACCACTACCACCATACGTACACCACTACTGTACCACCAACACCACACCACCACTACCACCATACATACACCACTACTGTACCACCAACAGCACACCACCACTACCACCATACATACACCACCAGTATACCACCAACATCACACCACCAACACCACCATACATACACCACCAGTATAACACCACACCACCACTACCACCATACGTACACCACTACTGTACCACCAACACCACACCACCACTACCACCATGCATACACCACTACTGTACCATCAACAGCACACCACCACTACCACCATACATACACCACCAGTATACCACCAACACCACACCACCACTACCACCATACATACACCACCACTACCACCATACATACACCACTACTGTACCAACAACACCACACCACCACTACCACCATACATACACCACCAGTATACCATCAACACCACACCACCACTACCACCATACATACACCACCAGTATACCACCAACACCACTCCACCACTACCACCATACATACATCACCAGTATACCATCAACACCACACCACCACTACCACCATACATACACCACCAGTATACCACCAACACCACACCACCACTACCACCATACATACACCACCAGTATACCACCAACACCACACCACCACTACCACCATACATACACCACCAGTATACCACCAACACCACACCACCACTACCACCATACATACACCACCAGTATACCATCAACACCACATCACCACTACCACCATACATACACCACCAGTATACCACCAACACCACACCACCACAACCACCATACACACACCACCAGTATACCATCAACACCACATCACCACTACCACCATACATACACCACCAGTATACCATCAACACCACACCACCACTACCACCATACATACACCACTACTGTACCAACAACACCACACAACCACTACCACCATACATACACCACCAGTATACCATCAACACCACACCACCACTACCACCATACATACACCACCAGTATACCATCAACACATCACCACTACCACCATACATACACCACCAGTATACCATCAACACCACACCACCAATACCACCATACATACACCACCAGTATACCACCAACACCACACCACCACTACCACCATACATACACCACTACTGTACCACCAACACCACTCCACCACTACCACCATACATACACCACCAGTATACCACCAACACCACACCACCACTACCACCATACACATACACCACCAGTATACCATCAACACCACATCACCACTACCACCATACATACACCACTAGTATACCACCAACACCACACCACCACTACCACCATACGTACACCACTAATGGACCACCAACACTACATCACCACTACCACCATACATACACCGCCAGTATACCACCAACACCACACCACCACTACCACCATACATACACCACCAGTATACCACCAACACCACACCACCACTACCACCATACATACAGCACCAGTATACCATCAACACCACATCACCACTACCACCATACATACACCACCAGTATACCACCAACACCACACCACCACTACCACCATACATACAGCACCAGTATACCACCAACACCACACCACCACTACCACCATACATACACCACTACTGTACCACCAACACCACACCACCACTACTACCCTGCCACCATCACGTCCACCACCAACACAATTGCCACCACCACCGCCACCACCACCACCACCGCCACTACTACCACGACTTCCACCACCGCCACCACCAGCACCACCGCACCTCTGACATTTATCATAGTTGTCTACGTACGGTGCGAAAGAAGTTGAACGCATGGTACATACCCCGCCACCACCGCCACCGCCGCCACCCGTGATGATGACCTCCTTGCCCCCCGCAATTGCTCCACCAGGCAGCAGCCCCCCGCCGGCGAGGCAGCTGGGGTCGTGGCTGACGTCGCGAGGCCTGGGCCGCACGCGGGACGAGACGACGGTGGGCATCCCGCACGACGTCTACGTGCTGGGCCTGCAGGAGAACGCCGCCGGGGAGAAGGAGTGGGAAGGCCTGCTGAGGCTCGCGCTGCGGGACATCACGGACATCGACTACCGCATGGTGAGTGTACAGTGGGGGTGTGCATTGTGAGTGAGTTTACAGTGAGTGGGTGTACAGTGTGAGTGTACAGTGTGAGTGGGTGTACAGTGTGAGTGTGCAGTGTGGCGTGTGAGTGTACAGTGTGAGTGGGTGTACAGTGTGAGTGGGTGTACAGTGTGAGTGTACAGTGTGAGTGGGTGTACAGTGTGAGTGGGTGTACAGTGTGAGTGGGTGTACAGTGTGAGTGGGTGTACAGTGTGCAGTGTGAGTGGATGTACAGTGTGAGTGGGTGTACAGTGTGAGTGGGTGTACAGTGTGAGTGAGTGTACAGTGTGAGTGTACAGTGTGAGTGTGCAGTGTGAGTGGGTGTACAGTGTGAGTGTGCAGTGTGAGTGAGTGAATGTGGGGAGCGGTCGGCGCCACAAAGCCGGCGACCCGCTTCACACGAACCCGACGAAGCAGTTTAGTAGTGTAGTGTAGTAGTGTATAGTGTAGTGTAGTAGTGTATAGTGTAGTGTGTAGTGTAGTGTGTAGTGTAGTGTGTTGTGTATAGTGTTGTGTATAGTGTAGTGTATAGTGTAGTAGCGTATAGTGTAGTGTATAGTGTAGTGTAGTAGTGTGTAGTGTAGTTTAGAGTGTAGTGTAGTGTGTAGTGTAGTAGTGTATAGTGTAGTGTAGTAGTGTATAGTGTAGTGTATAGTGTAGTGTGTAGTGTGTATAGTGTTGTGTATAGTGTAGTAGTGTATAGTGTAGTGTAGTGTATAGTGTAGTGTATAGTGTAGTGTGTAGTGTAGTGTGTAGTGTGTAGTGTAGTGTGTAGTGTATAGTGTATAGTAGTGTAGTGTAGTAGTGTATAGTGTAGTGTATAGTGTAGTGTATAGTAGTGTAGTAGTGTATAGTAGTGTATAGTGTGTAGTGTAGTGTTGTAGTGTGTAGTGTAGTATATAGTGTAGTGTAGTAGTGTATAGTGTAGTGTATAGTGTATATTGTAGTGTATAGTGTAGTGTAGTGATAAGTGTAGCAGTGTATAGTGTAGTAGTGTAGTAGTGTATAGTGTAGTGTAGTAGTGTATATTGTAGTGTATAGAAGTGTGTAGTAGTGTATAGTGTAGTAGTGTATATTGTAGTGTATAGTGTAGTAGTGTATAGTGTAGTGTAGTAGTGTGTATTGTAGTGTATAGAAGTGTGTAGTAGTGTATAGTGTAGTAGTGTGTAGTGTAGTAGTGTGTAGTGTAGTAGTGTATAGTGTAGTGTAGTAGTGTATATTGTAGTGTATACTGTAGTGTATACTGTAGTGTATAGAAGTGTGTAGTAATGTATAGTGTAGTAGTGTGTAGTGTATAGTGTAGTAGTGTATAGTGTAGTGTATAGTGTATTAGTGTATAGTGTAGTAATGTATAGTGTAGTAATGTATAGTGTAGTGTATAGTGTAATAGTGTAGTGTATAGTGTAGTGTAGTCGTGTAGTAGTGTATAGTGTAGTAGTGTAAAGTGTAGTGTATAGTGTAGTCGTGTATAGTGTAGTAGTGTATAGTGTAGTAGTGTAAAGTGTAGTGTATAGTGTAGTAGTGCATAGTGTAGGTGTGTATATTGTAGTGTGTAGTGTATAGTGTAGGTGTGTATATTGTAGTGTATAGTGTAGTGTATAGTGTAGTAGTGTATAGTGTAGTAGTGTATAGTATAGTGTAGTAGTGTAAAGTGTAGTGTATAGTGTAGTAGTGTTAAGTGTAGTGTATAGTGTAGTAGTGTATAGTGTAGTGTATAGTGTAGTAGTGTATAGTGTAGTGTATAGTGTAGTAGTGTATAGTGTATTGTATAGTGTAGTAGTGTATAGTGTAGTGTATAGTGTAGTAGTGTAAAGTGTAGTGTATAGTGTAGTAGTGTAAAGTGTAGTGTATAGTGTAGTAGTGTAAAGTGTAGTGTATAGTGTAGTAGTGTAAAGTGTAGTGTATAGTGTAGTAGTGTAAAGTGTAGTGTATAGTGTAGTAGTGTAAAGTGTAGTGTATAGTGTAGTAGTGTAAAGTGTAGTGTATAGTGTAGTAGTGTAAAGTGTAGTGTATAGTGTAGTAGTGTATAGTGTAGTAGTTTATAGTGTATAATGTAGTAGTGTATAGTGTAGTAGTGTATAGTGTAGTGTATAGTGTAGGTGTGGACCGTTGCTACTCAACACGCTGCCGCTGCTATGAATGAGGAACGAAACTGAACGAGCCACATGGAAGACCGCCGTGCCGGACTCCGTGGGGCACGATTGTGCCGGTGACGGCGCTCGCGAAGGAGCACTTGCCCCAACAGCGGTCTGCCGGAGGCTACCTGCGGGACCTTTGCCTTTTCCGTGCACCAGATCGCCGTGCAGAACCTGTGGAACATGAAGGTGCTGGTTCTGGTGAAAGCCGAGCACGAGAACCGCATCAGCCACGTGCAGACGTCCAGCGTCAAGACAGGACTGGCCAACGCTCTCGGTACCCCCGTGCCACCACCACCACCACCCTCGACCGTGCCCCCACCACCACCACCACCCTGGACCGTGCCACCACCATCACCACCACCCTCGACCGTGCCACCACCACCACCACCACCACCCTGGACCGTACCACCACCACCATCACCCTGGACCGTGCCACGCGGGGGCGGGGGGGGGGGTACTGAGCTCGACCGCGGTGGGTGACATGGTGGGTGACGTGGTGGGTGACGTAGTGGGTGACATGGTGGGTGACGTGGTGGGTGGCATGGTGGGTGACGTGGTGGGTGACGTGGTGGGTGACGTGGTGGGTGACATGGTGGGTGACGTGGTGGGTGACATGGTGGGTGACGTGGTGGGTGATGTGGTGGGTGACGTGGTGGGTGACATGGTGGGTGACGTGGTGGGTGACGTGGTGGGTGACGTGGTGGGTGACGTGGTGGGTGACGTGGTGGGTGGCGTGGTGGGTGACGCTGTGGGTGACATGGTGGGTGACGTGGTGGGTGACGTGGTGGGTGGCGTGGTGGGTGACGCTGTGGGTGACATGGTGGGTGACGTGGTGGGTGACATGGTGGGTGACATGGTGGGTGGCGTGGTGGGTGACATGGTGGGTGGCGTGGTGGGTGATGTGGTGGGTGACGTGGTGGGTGACATGGTGGGTGACATGGTGGGTGACGTGGTGGGTGGCGTGGTGGGTGACGTGGTGGGTGACATGGTGGGTGACGTGGTGGGTGACGTGGTGGGTGGCGTGGTGGGTGACGTGGTGGGTGACGTGGTGGGTGGCGTGGTGGGTGACGCTGTGGGTGACATGGTGGGTGACGTGGTGGGTGACGTGGTGGGTGGCGTGGTGGGTGGCGTGGTGGGTGACGTGGTGGGTGACATGGTGGGTGGCGTGGTGGGTGACGTGGTGGGTGATGTGGTGGGTGGCGTGGTGGGTGACGCTGTGGGTGACGCTGTGGGTGACATGGTGGGTGACGTGGTGGGTGACGTGGTGGGTGGCGTGGTGGGTGACGTGGTGGGTGACGTGGTGGGTGACGTGGTGGGTGACGTGGTGGGTGACGTGGTGGGTGACGCGGTGGGTGGCGCGGTGGGTGACGCGGTGGGTGACGCGGTGGGTGACGTGGTGGGTGACGTGGTGGGTGGTGGGTGACGTGGTGGGTGACGTGGTGGGTGACGTGGTGGGTGACGTGGTGGGTGGCGTGGTGGGTGACGCGGTGTTTCGTTTGTTGTCCTTCGCCCGCGCAACTTCTCCGATTGGCGGCGGTTGGCTACGCGCCGTGCAGGCGTACACCACTGGACCACCAACACCACACCACCGCTACTACCACACCACTACCACCACACCACTACCACCACCACTACCACAACCACCGCTACCACCACACCACTACCACCAACACCACACCACCGCTACTACCACACCACTACCACCAACACCACACCACCGCTACTACCACACCACACCACCGCTACTACCACACCACTACCACCAACACCACACCACTACCACCACACCACCGCTACTACCACACCACTACCACCACACCACTACCACCGCTACTACCACACCACTACCACCACACCACCGCTACTACCACACCACTACCACCACACCACTACCACCGCTACTACCACACCACTACCACCAACACCACACCACCGCTACTACCACACCACTACCACCAACACCACTACCACCACCACTACCACCACACCACTACCACCAACACCACAACCACCGCTACTACCACACCACTACCACCAACACCACTACCACCGCTACTACCACACCACTACCACCAACACCACTACCACCACACCACTACCACCACCACTACCACCACACCACTACCACCAACACCACTACCACCACCACTACCACCACACCACTACCACAAACACCACAACCACCGCTACTACCACACCACTACCACCAACACCACACCACCGCTACTACCACACCACTACCACCAACACCACAACCACCACTACCACCACACCACTACCACCACACCACCACTACCACCACACCACTATCACCACCACTACTACCACCACTATCACCACACCACTACCACCACCACTACCACCACACCACTACCACCACCACTACTACCACCACTATCACCACCACTATCACCACTACCACCACTACTACCACACCACTACCACCACACCACTACCACCACCACTACCACCACACCACTACCACCAACACCACACCACCACTATCACCACCACCAACACCACTACCACCGCTACTACCACACCACTACCACCACACCACTACCACCACCACTACCACCACACCACTACCACCAACACCACACCACCACTATCACCACCACCAACACCACACCACCGCTACTACCACACCACTACCACCAACACCACTACCACCGCTACTACCACACCACTACCGCCACACCACTACCACCAACACCACTACCACCACTATCACCACACCACTACCACCACCACTACCACCACCACTACCACCACACCACTACCACCACCACTACCACCACCACTATCACCACCACTATCACCACTACCACCGCTACTACCACCTCCACTATACCGCCAACACCACCCCACCAATACATCCAATACTACCACCATCAGCACCACACCACCAACACCACACCACCACTACCACCACTACCACCACACCACTACCACCTCCACTATACCGCCAACACCACCCCACCAATACATCCAATACTACCACCATCAGCACCACACCACCAACACTACCACCACCACTGTACCGCCAACTTCACACCGCAACCACCAACACCACACCACCACTACAACATTCACTATTTCCGCACCTCCGATTAGCACGGTTGGCTACGTACGGTGGTGCGAAAGAAGTTTGGCACACAGACACACAGACACAGACACACAGACACACGCACAGACACACAGACACAGACACACAGACACAGACACACGCACAGACACACGCACAGACACACGCACAGACACAGACACACGCACAGACACAGACACACACAGACACACAGACACAGACACACAGACACACACACACACCCACAGACACACGCATAGGCACACAGACACATACACACGCACAGACACATAGACACATGCACAGACACAGACACACAGATACAGACACACAGACACAGACACACAGACACAGACACACACACACAGACACACGCACAGACACATGCACAGACACTCGCACACACACGCACAGACACACCCACAGACACACGCATAGACACACAGACACATACACAGACACACGCACAGACACACAGACACATACACAGACACACGCACAGACACAGACACACAGACACACAGACACACGCACAGACACACAGACACACGCACAGACACACGCACAGACACACAGACACACGCACAGACACACAGACACACGCACAGACACACAGACACACGCACAGACACAGACACACGCACACACACACAGACACACAGACACAGACACACAGACACAGACACACGCAAAGACACATAGACACACAGACAAAGACAAAGATCCCCCATATAGCCTTAACAGACTGTAGGGGCAAGTCCTGTTAGCGAGCACCTATGAAGGCCGGAACGGTACACGAGGGGGTGGGTGGCCAGCACCACGCCCGACCGCCTTTGTCTCCCTAGTGGCGATTTTTACACACCGCTGAGTCGACCTAGGGGAGGCCTGGGACCGGTTCAGATAATCGTCACTGGTGTTGGCCGTGAGCGGGAATCGAACCCGGGTCGCCAGGTTCATAGTGCAGCGCGCTAACCGCTACACAGACACACGCACACACAACGCACGTGATGCGAGGTGGCGCTCAATCTCTCTCTCGCTCGCTCCACGCCACTCGCTTTCTGATCCTTGCCCCTTACTGGGCACCTGTGGAAAAAGAGCTTCATAACTCATCGGATTCCTCCATGCGAGAACCCGCCCAGACCACTGCCTCCGTAGCTCCTGAGAGCCCCCTAACCCTCGCCCCCTAACCCTCGCCCCCTAACCCTCGCCCCCTGACCCTCGCCCCCTGACCCTCGCCCCCTGACCCTCGCCCCCTAACCCTCGCCCCCAACCCTCGCCCCTAACCCTCGCCCCTAACCCTCGCCCCCTAACCCTCGCCCCCTGATCCTCGCCCCTTGACCCTCGCCCCCTAACCCTCGCCCCCTAACCCTCGCCCCCTAACCCTCGCCCATAACCCTCGCCCCCTAACCCTCGCCCCCTAACCCTCGCCCCCTGACCCTCGCCCCCTAACCCTCTCCCCCTAACCCTCGCCCCCTAACCCTCGCCCCTAACCCTCGCCCCCTGACCCTCGCCCCCTAACCCTCTCCCCTAACCCTCGCCCCCTGACCCTCGCCCCTAACCCTCGTCCCTAACCCTCGCCCCCTGACCCTCGCCCCCTGACCCTCACCCCCTGACCCTCGCCCCCTAACCCTCGCCCCCTAACCCTCGCCCCCTAACCCTCGCCCCCTAACCCTCGCCCCCTAACCCTCGCCCCCTAACCCTCGCCCCCTGACCCTCGCCCCCTGACCCTCGCCCCCTGACCCTCGCCCCCTGACCCTCGCCACTTGACCCTCGCCCCCTAACGTTCACCCGTAACCGGTGTGGCTGTTGCCAGGCAACAAGGGAGCGGTGGGCGTGTCCTTCGTGTTTGGAGGAACCTCCTTCGGCTTCGTCAACTGTCACCTCACCTCGGGCAACGAGAAGACGCACAGGTAGAGCTGGTGGTGGCGGTGGTGGTGGCGGTGGTGGTGGCCGTGGTGGCGGTGGTGGTTGTGGTGGTGGTGGTGGCGGTGTGGTGGTTGTGGTGGTGGTGGCAGTGTGGTGGTAGAGGTGGTAGAGGTGGTGGTGTGGTGGTAGAGGTGGTAGAGGTGGTGGTGTGGTGGTGGCGGTTGGTGGTTGTGGTGGTGGTGGTGGTGGTGTGGTGGTAGAGGTGGTAGAGGTGGTGGTGTGGTGGTAGAGGTGGTAGAGGTGGTAGGTGTGGTGGTGTGGTGGTTGTGGTGGTGGTGGTGGTGGTGTGGTGGTAGAGTTGGTAGAGGTGGTGGTGTGGTGGTGTGGTGGTGGCGGTGGTGCCATTGGTAACGGTAGTAGCGGTGGTGGTAGTAGTGGTAGTAGCGGTGGTGGTAGTAGTGGTGGTAGTGGTAGTAGTGGTGGTAGTGGTAGTAGTGGTAGTAGTGGAGGTAGTAGTGGTAGTAGTGGTGGTAGTGGTCATAGTGGTAGTAGTGGGAGTAGTGGTGGTGGTAGTAGTGGTAGTAGTGGTGGTAGTGGTCATAGTGGTAGTAGTGGTGGTAGTGGGAGTAGTGGTGGTGGTAGTAGTGGTAGTAGTGGTGGTAGTGGGAGTAGTGGTGGTGGTAGTAGTGGTGGTAGTGGTCGTAGTGGTAGTAGTGGTGGTAGTGGGAGTAGTGGTGGTGGTAGTAGTGGTAGTAGTGGTGGTAGTGGTCGTAGTGGTAGTAGTGGTGGTAGTGGGAGTAGTGGTGGTGGTAGTAGTGGTGGTAGTGGTCGTAGTGGTAGTAGTGGTGGTAGTGGTGGTGGTAGTAGTGGTAGTAGTGGTGGTAGTGGTCGTAGTGGTAGTAGTGGGAGTAGTGGTGGTGGTAGTAGTGGTGGTAGTGGTGACCTTTGACCGGCCTCCCCTCCCCCCCTCCCCTGACACCACAGCAAACTGACCGCTTGCCACCATCGGGAAGCTACTTGAGCGTGTGTGTGTGTACGTGTGTGTGTGTACGTCCGTGCGTGCATGTGTACGTGTGTGTGTGTACGTCCGTGCGTGCGTGCATGTGTACATGTGTGTGTGTGTATGTGTGCGTCAGTGTGTATGTGTCCGTGCGTGTGTACATGTGTACGTGTGTGTGTTTGTGTGTATGTGTGCGTCAGTGTGTATGTGTCTGTGCGTGTGTACATGTGTACGTGTGTGTGTTTGTGTGTATGTGTGCGTCAGTGTGTATGTGTCTGTGCCTGCGTTTGTGCATGTGGGGAGCGGTAGTCTCGTGGGTAGCGCACTGCACTACGAACCCGACGACCCGAGTTTGATTCCCGTTAACGGCCAACACCGGTGACGATTATCTGAACCGGTTCTGGGCCTCCCCTAGATCTACTCAGCCTCAAATGAGTACCTGGTGGGGTGTGTAAACATCGCCACTGGGGAGACAAAGGGGGTCGGGCGTGGTCCTGGCCACCCACCCCCTCGTGTGCTGTGTTGGCCTTCATAGCTGCGACTCGCTAACAGCACTTGCCCCAAACAGTCAGTTACAGGCTACACGGGTGATCTTTGTGTGTGCAATGGTGTATGTGTGTGGAGTGGTAGTGCAATGGTTAGCATGCTCCACTCACTCACTCCACTCACTCACTCCACTCACTCACTTCACTCACTCCACTCACTCCACTCACTCCACTCACTCACTCCACTCACTCACTTCACTCACTCACTCCACTCACTCCACTCACTTCACTCCCTCACTTCACTCACTCACTCACTTCACTCACTCACTTCACTCACTCACTTCACTCACTCCACTCACTCACTCCACTCACTCACTCACTTCACTCACTCCATCACTCCACTCACTCACTCACTTCACTCACTCACTCACTTCACTCACTCACTCCACTCACTCACCTCACTTCACTCACTCCACTCACTTCACTCACTCCACTCACTCCACTCACTCACTTCATTCACTCACTCCACTCACTCACTTCACTCACTCACTTCACTCACTCCACTCACTTCACTCACTCCACTCACTCACTCCACTCACTCACTTCACTCACTCCACTCACTTCACTCACTCACTTCACTCACTCACTTCACTCACTCCACTCACTTCACTCACTCACTCACTTCACGCACTCCACTCACTCACTCACTTCACTCACTCACTCACTTCACTCACTTCACTCACTCACTTCACTCACTCACTCACTTCACGCACTCCACTCACTCCACTCACTCACTTCACTCACTCACTCCACTCACTTCACGCACTCCACTCACTCACTCACTTCACTCACTCACTCACTTCACTCACTTCACTCACTCACTTCACTCACTTCACTCACTCACTTCACTCACTCACTCACTTCACTCACTTCACTCACTCACTTCACTCACTCCACTCACTTCACTCACTTACTCCACTCACTCCACTCACTTCACTCACTCACTCCACTCACTCACTCACTCCACTCACTCACTCACTCCACTCACTCACTCCACTCACTTCACTCACTCACTTCACTCGCTCACTTCACCAACTTCACTCACTCCACTCACTCACTTCACTCACTCCACTCACTCACTTCACTCACTTCACTCACTCACTTCACTCACTCACTTCACTCACTTCACTCACTTCACTCACTCACTCCACTCACTTCACTCACTTACTCCACTCACTCCACTCACTTCACTCACTCACTCCACTCACTCACTCCACTCACTCCACTCACTCACTCCACTCACTCACTCACTCCACTCACTTCACTCACTTACTCCACTCACTCCACTCACTCACTCACTCACTCCACTCACTCACTCCACTCACTCACTCACTTCACTCACTCCACTCACTCACTCCACTCACTTCACTCTTTGTGCGCCCAGACGCAACCAGAACTACCTGGACATCCTGCGCTTCCTCTCGCTGGGCGACAAGCGGCTGAGCTCCTTCGACATCACCAACCGCTTCACTCACCTCTTCTGGTTCGGAGACCTCAACTACCGCCTCGACATGGACGTGCAGGTGAGCGCGGTAGTCGTGGTACACACAGCGGTACTCACTGTGGTCATGGTGAGTAGCACCATGGGTACGGTACATGCAGAGTTAGACCACAGTACACACCACAGTACGCACCGCAGTACGCACCACAGTACACACCGCAGTACGCACCACAGTACACACCACAGTACGCACCACAGTACGCACCACTGTACACACCACAGTACACTACACAGTACACACCACAGTACGCACCACAGTACACACAGAGATACACCGCAGTACGCACGACAGTACACACCACAGTACACACCACAGTACACACCACAGTACGCACCACAGTACGCACCACTGTACACACCACAGTACACTACACAGTACACACCACAGTACGCACCACAGTACGCACCACAGTACACACCACAGTACACACCACAGTACACACGACAGTACGCACCACAGTACACACCACAGTACACACACCACAGTACACTACACAGTACACACCGCAGTACGCACCACAGTACACCCCGCAGTACACTACACAGTACACACCACAGTACACACCACAGTACACACCACAGTACACACACCACAGTATACACACCACAGTACACACCACAGTACACACCACAGTACACACCACAGTACACACCACAGTACACACACCACAGTATACACACCACAGTACACACCACAGTACACACACCACAGTATACACACCACAGTACACACCACAGTACACACCACAGTACACACCACAGTACACACACCACAGTACACACCACAGTACACACACCACAGTACACACACCACAGTACACACCACAGTACACACACCACAGTACACACCACAGTACACACCACAGTACACACCACAGTACACACACCACAGTACACACACCACAGTATACACCACAGTACACACACCACAGTACACACCACAGTACACACACCACAGTACACACACCACAGTACACACACCACAGTACACACCACAGTATACACACGACAGTATACACACGACAGTACACACCACAGTACACACACCACAGTACACACCACAGTACACACCACAGTACACACCACAGTACACACCACAGTACACACACCACAGTACACACACCACAGTACACACACCACAGTACACACACCACAGTACACACCACAGTACACACACCACAGTACACACCACAGTACACACACCACAGTACACACCACAGTACACACACGACAGTACACACACCACAGTACACACCACAGTACACACACCACAGTACACACCACAGTACACACACCACAGTACACACCACAGTACACACACCACAGTACACACCACAGTACACACACCACAGTACACACCACAGTACACACACCACAGTACACACCACAGTACACACACCACAGTACACACCACAGTACACACCACAGTACACACACCACAGTACACACACCACAGTACACACCACAGTACACACCACAGTACACACCACAGTACACACACCACAGTATACACACCACAGTACACACACCACAGTACACACACCACAGTACACACCACAGTACACACACCACAGTACACACCACAGTACACACACCACAGTACACACACCACAGTATACACACCACAGTACACACCACAGTACACACCACAGTACACACCACAGTACACACCACAGTACACACCACAGTACACACACCACAGTACACACGACAGTACACACGACAGTGCGCCCAGCGGTACACTCGACGGGATGGACTCACGCGCGCCGCGTAACCGGCACATGCCCCCCGCCCGCCGCGCTGCAGGAGATCATGGCTCACATCAACAAGAAGGAGTTTGATGCCCTACTCAAGGTGGACCAGCTCAACCTGGAGAGGGAGAAGAGCAAGATCTTCTTGCGCTTCAGTGAGTTCCCACCGTGTCCCCGTGTCTTCCCGGGTGTCCGCGTGTCTCCCGTGTCCCCGTGCCCCTCCCCGTGCGTCCCCACGTGTCCCCGCGTGTCCCTACACGTCCCCTGCGAGTGTCCGTGTGTCTCCGTCTCTCCCCGTGTGTCCCTGCATGACGTTGTTGACGGTGTTCGTCTTGATGTCGACGATGTCGGCGTTGTCGGTGGTGGCTGCGATGATGGCGGCGATGATGATGATGATGATGACGTTGATGCCATCCCCCAGATGAGGAGGACATCAGTTTCCCCCCGACGTACAGATATGAGCGCGGCACCCGCGACTCCTACGCCTGGCAGAAGTTCAAGACCACCGGGGTAAGGGGCGGCCACACCACACTCGGCCTCGTCATCTTGCCACACGACTGTGACCGTGCCACCACTGACAACGATAAGGTCACACTGTCCATAACACACCACCACGGTCACACCATTACGGCCACATCAGCCCTGTGAGACCACCCCTACCACATCGCCCCTTACCTCAACACCCCCACGACACCACCTCTACCACACCAGCTCTACCACACCGAACCAACCACATCACGCCTACCACACCGCTCCTATCAGACCGCCCTACCACACCACCCCTACCACACCACCCCTACCACCCCACCCCTACCACACCACCCCTACCACACCACCTCTACCACACCACCTCTACCACACCACCTCTACCAAACCACCCCTCGAACGCCACCCCTACCACCCCACCCCTACCACACCACCCCTACCACACCACCCCTACCACACCACCCCTACCACACCACCCCTACCACATTACCCCCTGAACACCACTACAACCACACCACCTGTGTGTGTGGTTGTGTGGCCATGTGTGTGGTTGTGTTTTCGTAGTGGCACAGCCGCTGTTGCTGTGCACTACGAACCTGGCTACCCGAGTTCGCATTCACAGCCAACATCCAAACCGGTCCTGGGCCTCCCCTAGGTCAACGCAGCCTTAAATGAGTACCTGGTGCGGTGGTGTAGTAAACATAGCCACTGGGGAGGCAAAGGCGACCGAGCGTGGTGATGGTCACACCCACCCACTGCTGCTCGCTCGCAGCACTTGCCCCAGCGGTCTGGTAAGACTACACGGGGAATCTTTGTCTTCGTCCACAGGTGCGTGTGAATGTACCGTCGTGGTGTGACCGCATCCTGTGGAAGTCGTACCCCGAGACGCACATCGTGTGCAACTCCTACGGTGAGCGAGAGCCCAGCAGGGCCACCCACACCAACATGGCCACCACCACCACCAACATGGACACCACCACCACCAACATGGCCACCACCAACACCAACATGGACACCACCACCACCAACATGGACACCACCAACACCAACATGGACACCACCACCACCAACATGGCCACCACCAACACCAACATGGCCACCACCAACATGGCCACCACCACCACCACCAACATGGCCACCACCACCACCAACATGGCCACCACCACCACCAACATGGCCACCACCAACATGGCCACCACCAACACCAACATGGCCACCACCACCACCAACATGGCCACCACCAACACCAACATGGCGACCACCACCAACATGGACACCCACACCAACATGACCTCCCACCGCCACCAACATGGCCTTCCACACCAACATGGCTTCCCACACCAGCATGGCCTCTCACACCAACATGGCCACCACCACAATCATGGCCTCCCACACCAACATAGCCACCACCAACATGGCCACTACTAACATGGCCACCGCCACCAGCAGGGCCTCCCACACCAACATGTTCACCATCACCAACATGGCCACCACCACCAACATGTCCACCACACCAACATGGCCACCACCACCAACATGGCCACAACCACCACCAACGGGACCTGCCACACCAACATGGCCACCACCAGCAGGGTATCCCACACCAAAATGGCCACAACCACCACCAACGGGATCTGCCACACCAGTATGGCCACCACCAGCAGCAGGGCCTCCTACACCAACATGGCCACCACCACCAACATGGCCTCCCACACCATCAGGGCCTCCCACACCAACATGGCAACCACCAGCAGCAGTGCCTCCAACACCAACATGGCCACCACCACCAACATGGCCACCACCACCAACAGGTCCTGCCACACTAACAGAGCCTGCCACGCCAACAGGGCCTGCCACACCAACATGGCCACCACCAGCAGCAGGGCCTCCCATACCAACATGGCCACCACCACCACCAACATGGATACCACCACCAACATATCCACCACCACCAACATACCCACCACACCAACATGGCCACCCACACCAACATGGCCACCACCACCGACATGCCCACCACACCAACATGGCCACCACCACCAACATGCTAACGAGCCCTCGTTGTCATCGTTGGCGTCGCCGCGGTAACCGGTTGCTAAGCAGCTGCGTTTGATTGGCAGGCTGCACGGACGACATCGTGACGAGCGACCACTCCCCGGTGTTCGCCACCTTCGAGGTCGGGGTCACCTCTCAGTTTGTCTCCAAGAAGGGTGAGACCCCCACGGAGACCCCCACGGAGACCCCCACGGAGACCCCCACAGGGGGACCCCCAGAGGGACCCCCACAGAGACCCCCAGAGGGACCCCCACGGAAACCCCCACAGAGACCCCCACGGAGACCCCCACAGAGACCCCCACGGAGACCCCCACAGAGACCCCCACGGAGACCCCCACAGGGGGACCCCTAGAGGGGGACCCCCCACAGAGACCCCCACAGAGACCCCCACGGAGACCCCCACAGGGGGACCCCCACGGAGACCCCCACGGAGACCCCCACGGAGACCCCAACAGGGGGACCCCCACAGAGACCCCCACGGGGACCCCCACGGGGACCCCCACGGGGGGACCCCCACGGGGAGACCCCCACGGAGACCCCCACGGAGACCCCCACGGAGACCCCTAGAGGGACCCCCACAGGGACCCCGAGAAGGACCCCCACAGAGACCCCCACGGAGACCCCCACGGAGACCCCCACGGAGACCCCCACGGAGACCCCCACAGAGACCCCCACGGAGACCCCCACAGAGACCCCCACAGGGACCCCGAGAAGGACCCCCACAGAGACCCCCACGGAGACCCCCACGGAGACCCCCACGGAGACCCCCACGGAGACCCCCACAGAGACCCCCACGGAGACCCCCACAGGGGGACCCCTAGAGGGACCCCCACAGAGACCCCCAGAGGGACCCCCACAGAGACCCCCACAGAGACCCCCACAGAGACCCCCACAGAGACCCCCCACAGAGACCCCCACAGAGACCCCCCACAGAGACCCCCACAGAGACCCCCCACAGAGACCCCCACCGAGACCCCCCCCAAGATCCACCAGAGACCCCCACATTGATCCCCACAGAGAATCCCATAGAGACCCCCCAGAGACCCCCACAGAGATCCCCCAGAGACCCCCACAGAGTCTATGGGGCACGGTGGGGGGGAGTTGGGGGGGGGGGGGCCTGTGTGTGTCTTTGTACCCGTGTGTGTGTACCCGTGTATGTGCGTACCCATGTGTGTGTACCTGTGTGTGTGTGTGTATCCGTGTGTGTGTCTACCCGTGTGGGAGCGGTAGTGTAGCGGTTAGCGCGCTGCGCTATGAACCTGGCGACCCGGGTTCGATTCCCGCTTACGGCCAACACCAGTGACGATTATCTGAACTGGTCCCGGGCCTCCCCTAGGTCGACTCAGTCTCAAATGAGTACCTGGTGCGGTGTGTAGTAAACCTTGCCACTAGGGAGACAAAGGCGGTCGGGCGTGGTGCTGGCCACCCACCCCCTCGTGTACCGTTCTGGCCTTCATAGGTGCTCGCTAACAGCACTTTCCCCTACAGTCTGTTAAGGCTATATGGGGGATCTTTGTTATCTTTGTTGTGTGTATACCCATGTGTGTGTGTACCTGTGTGTGTGTCTACCCGTGTGTGTGTCTACCCGTGTGTGTGTACCCGTGTGTGTGTGTATACCTGTGTGGCCTGGTCTCAGCTAGCTGATGAAAATTGCAAGCGAGAATTTCATCATCGCTTGCGGCTGGGATTGGCATCGTCCCCGACTCCTCCTGATGTCGTGGGTAAATGGGCGAGGTTTAGGACTGTGACTCATGCAGCTGCAATGGCTGCTTTAGGTACGCGGTCCAGACCTCCCCAGAGACTCTGGCTGACAGAGGAGGTGTTCAGGATGGTTGAGAAAAAGCGACAGGCCCACTGTAATCGGCTACAGAATCCCACGTCAGAGAATGAGGAGGCTTACCGCAGCCTTCGCTCGGAGGTTCGGAGAGCCGTGAGGCGCTGCAAGGATGGGTGGTGGTCACGGGTTGCTGAGGAGATGGAGTCTGCCTCAGTGGCCCGTGATCACAAATCTCCATTTAACTCCATCAAAAAAGTAACCTGCAGCGCCACACCTATTACCATCATTAGAGGAAAAAACGGTGATCCAATCTCCGACCCCCAGGAACAGGTTTGCAGATTTGCTGAGCATTTCTGTGAGGTCCTGGGGGAGGGAAAATCCCTCAGCCAGGAAAACATCGTGGCACAAAGTGAGGATGACCCTGCTGAGGCTGCGGTGCCTCAAATATTGGAAGAAGTCACCCCCTGTGAGTGGCTGGCTGAGGTGCCATCTGCTGAGGAAGTACTGAAGGCGATCCGGACTCTGAGACCAGGAAAGGCAGCGGGCAGAGATGATCTCCCAAGCGAAATGCTGAGGGAGGGTGGCGTTTGTGCACAGACTGCCCTATATGACATCATAACAACAGTCAGACTGGAGCGTGCCACTAAGAGGTGGGGCCTTACCATCAGCCCCACCAAAACTAAGCACCTGCCTGGGTATTTTGTACCATTGGACACTCCACCGCCACAACTCCCAATCGGTGATGGGGCAGTTGTGGAGAGAGTGGAGAATTTCCCATACCTGGGCAGTGTACTTATGACTGGCTCCAGTTTAACAGCAGAGGTCTCACTCCGAATCAGTCGAGCGGCAATATCTTTTCATCGGTTGCGTAACGCTGTGTGGAAGCTACCTGGTCTGTCGCTCCGCACTAAGCTTCAGGTCTTCTCGGCCACGGTCATTCCCTCCCTTCTCTACGCTTGCAAAACGTGGACCCCCCTAATGGAACATCTTCGCCGGTTAGAAACATTTAGGCTAGCCTGCCTACGATCCATCCTGGGTTTAACCAGGCTGGATTGTGTGAGGAGCTCACAAATCCTTGAAAGATCTGGGCAGGGTCCCATCGGTGAGCTCCTCCGGCGGGCAAGGCTGCGTTGGCTGGGTCATGTAGCCCGCATGCCCAGCCACCGCATGCTGAAACAGCTTTTGTTCGGCCGGATCGAGGGGGCCAAACGGGCGCGGCACGGGCTAGAGAAGAGATGGAGTGATGTGGTACAGGAGGACGTGGAGCTGAGTGGACTTGCCGATAACTGGTACCAGCGGTGTCAAGATCGGCCTCTGTGGAGGAGGCTCGTGAAGGATGCTACTGGGAAGTTGGAGGTAGTAGCCCTCCAACAACAACGGAGGGCGGAGGAGCGACGCTCACAACAACGAGCGGAGCGCCGGGTGGCTAAAGCACAGCAGGTTGGCACAGTAGGGGGCACAGGTGGTGCATTAGCCAGTCATCTCAGTCAGTCGACCCGTGGCACCTGGGTCTGCCCCGTGACCTGCCAGCGGGCGTTCGACACTTCACGTGGCCTCAAGGTGCACATGGCCTGGCACAAGCGTCGTGGTGATGTCATCGCCACTTAGTGGCGAATGGCGGTTGTTGTTGTTGTGTGTACCCGTGTGTGTGTACCCGTGTGTGCGTGTACCCATGTATGTGTCTACCCGTGTGTGTGTGTACTTGTGTGTTGTACGTGCCCATGTGTGTGTACCTGTGTGTGTGTATCCATTTGTGTGTCTACCCGTGTGGGAAGCGGTAGTGTAGTGGTTAGCGTGCTGCGCTACAAACCTGGAGACCCAGGTTCGATTGCCGCTCATGGCTAACACCGGTGACGATTATCTAAACCGGTCCTCGGCCTCTCCTAGGTCGACTCAGCCTCAAATGAGTACCTGGTCGCGGTGTGTAAACATGGAGAGACAAAGGGGAGACAAAGGCGGCCGGGCGTGGTGCTGGCCACCCACCCCCTCGTGTGCCGTGCCAGCCTTTATAGCTGCTACTCGCTAACAGCACTTGCCCTAACAGTCTGTGAAGGCGATACGGGGGATCTTTGCCTTTGTGTGTGTATATCCGCGTGTGTGTGCATACTCACACATGGGTAAAGCGGTGGTGTAGCAGTTAATGTGCTGTGCTACGAATCCCAGCTGTCCGAGTTCGATTCCCGCTGATGGCCAACACCAGTGGTGATTAATTATCTGAACCACTGCTAGGCCTCCCTTAGGTCGACTCAGCCTCAAATGAGTACCTGGCGCGGTGTGTAGTAAACATCGCCGCTGGGGAGACAAAGGCGTGTGCCATTCCGGCCTTCGTAGGTGCCCGCTAGCTGCATTTGCCAAAACAGTCTGTTCAGGCTCTACGGGGGATCTTTGTACGTCCGTGTGCGCAGGCTCTGCAGATGAGTCTCACATCGAGCTGGAGAGCGTGGAGGCCATCGTGAAGACCACGAGCCGCACCAAGTTCTTCCTGGAGTTCTACTCCAGCTGTCTGGAGGGTCAGAAACTCATAGACAACTTACACAGAGACCCACAGATTACTCGCAAAGAGACCCGTAGGCTCAAACGGAGACCCATAGGCTACTCGCACAGAGATCGATAACCAACTTGCATGGAGACCCTTACGCTACTTCCAGAGACCCATAGACGTTTCACACAGAGACCCGTAGACTCACACAGAGACCTACAGACTCACACAGAGGCCCATTGACTCACACAGAGGCCCATTGACTCACACAGAGACCCATTGACTCGCACAGAGACCTATTGACTCACACAGAGGCCCATTGACAAACCCAGAGACCCACAGACTCACACAGAGACCCATAGACTCACACAGAGACCCATAGACTCGCACAGAGACCCATTGACTCACACAGAGACCCGTAGACTCGCACAGAGAATCATATACTCACACAGAGACTCATTGACTCACACAGAGACCCAAAGACTAAAACAGAGACCCATTGACTCACCCAGAGACCCATAGACTCACACAGAGACACAGACTCACGCAGAGACCCGTAGACTCGCACAGAGAACCATATACTCACATAGAGACCCATTGACTCACACAGAGGCCCATTGACTCACACAGATACCCATATACTCACACAGAGACCCATAGACTCACACAGAGGCCCATTGACTCACACAGAGACCCGTAGACTCGCACAGAGAACCATATACTCACAGAGACCCATGGACTCACACAGAGACCCCAGCTCACATAGAGACCCACAGACTCACACAGAGACCCCAGCTCACACAGAGACCCATTGACTCACACAGAGACCCGTAGACTCGCACAGAGAACCATATACTCACAGAGACCCATGGACTCACACAGAGACCCCAGCTCACATAGAGACCCACAGACTCACACAGAGACCCCAGCTCACACAGAGACCCATTGACTCACACAGAGACCCCAGCTCACATAGAGACCCACCTCCAATTAGCACGGTTGGCTATGTACGGTGCATAAGAAGTCCAACATACATACAGCCGCCCTGCAATGAGATGTGATTGAAGCTGCTGCTGATGCTGCTGCTCTTCCTGCTGCTATTACTGCTGATGATTCTGCTCGTCCTGTTACTGCTGATTCTACTGATGTTGCTGCTGCTGTTATTGCCACTGCTACTGATTCTGCTTGTGCTGTGACGATTGCGGATGCTGCTGATGCTGCTACCGATGGCGGCGGCGGTGGTGGTGGACATGGTGGTGATGGACGTGGTTGGTGGTGGTGGTGGCGGTGGGGGCGGTGGTGGTGGTGCAAAAACAACCTCCTACTGCCTCGGTGGTGCCGGACGGTAATGTTGTGGTGGATGTGAGCAATGCCATGGAGGGAAGACCAATTCCATATCGGCTATTCTTCTTCATGGTGCTTGTAGCCACTACAGCAGCCAAATGGGGGCTTTGGAAGGGTGCGAGCGGCTGGTAACCCCTCCGCCTTCAATTCAACAACCATTGAACCACGTGAAAAATTGCAAATTAAGCTTGTGCCGGAGGCCCCGGGGGGACAGGCATCTATGACGTCTCCTGGCTCCACCCCCATTTGGCGGAGCCAGGAGTGGACACGTGGAAAGTATCCTTACCCTCGAAGTTCCTCCAGAAACGCTCGCTGTGGAGGAGAGGCTGCCACTCCTCTGTCAGGAGCTGGACCGATACCGCTTGGATCTTTACGGTATTCAGGAGGTCCGGTGGACCGGCTCTAGCTCCAGTCACCGTGAGGGGTGGACAGTCTTATAGTCGGGCAGGAGACTACCAAACAACGGGGAGCGGCTCTTCTTATGAACAAAAGAATGAAGGGGGCGTGGGATCGTGGTGGTGAGGTGTGGGAAGCTGTAAGCCCCAGGCTACTGTGGAATCATCTTCCGATCAACCATAGGCGAGGAGTGGTGGTGGTGGTGGTTATTTATGTCCCCCACTGAAGATGAACATCCGTGGAGAGATGCAGGCAAGGCCGTTGAGTCAGATGCCTTCTATGACCTCCTGTCACAGGTGCCGGCTAAAGTGGCCCCTCGGGATAGTCATCTTGTTGGGTGACTTCAATGCCCGAGTTGGTCATGATGCTGGCACCTGGTCTGGAGTGATTGGAGGGCATGGGCCAGATCAGCTCAATAACAACGGTAGGAGGCTCCTAGATTTAAAGCTTTCGTGACTGCAAGGATTCATCTTCTTTGGTTCTTTCCCGTAATGGAACATCTTCGCTGGTTAGAAACATTTAGGCTGGCCTGCCTACGATCCATCCTGGGTTCAACCAGGCTGGATTGTGTGAGGAGCTCACAAATCCTTGAAAGATCTGGACAAAGTCCCATTGGTGAGCTCCTCCGGCAGGCAAGGCTGCGTTAGCTGGGTCATGTAGCTCGCATGCCCAGCCACCGCATGCCTAAACAGCTTTTGTTCGGCCGGATAGAGGGGGCTAAACGGGCGCGGCACGGGCTAGAGAAGAGATGGAGTGATGTGGTACAGGAGGACGTGGAGCTGAGTGGACTTGCCGATGACTGGTACCAGCGGTGTCAAGATTGGCCTCTGTGGAGGAGGCTCGTGAAGGATGCTACTGGGCAGTTGGAGGCAGTCACCCTCCAACAACAACGGAGGGCGGAGGAGCGACGCTCACAACAATGAGCGGAGCGCCGGGTGGCTAAAGCACAGCAAGTTGGCACAGTAGGGGGCACAGGTGGTGCATCAGCCACTCATCTCAGTCATCTCAGTCAGCCGACCCGTGGCACCTGGGTCTGTCCCGTGAACTGCCAGCGGGCGTTCGACACTTCACGTTGCCTCAAAACGCACTTAGCCTGGCACAGGCACCGTGGTGACGTCACCGACACTTAGTGGCGAATGGCGGTTGTTGGTGGTGTTGCTGACGGTGGTGGTGCTGGTGGTGGTGGTGCTGACAGTAGTGATTGTGGTGGTGTCTGGTGTGACCAGGTCCGTGCAAGAGTGGGGAGAATGACAGCCAGCAGAGCGAGGTCGCCAACTTCCTCAAGGTCGGCTGGTCCCAGCTGCAGCTGCCGCTGGTGAGCGGCGCGTTAGGAGCCTCGCTCACTCTCCCTGTCGCTCTATTATCACTCTGTCTGTCTCTCTCGCTCTATCACTCTCCCTGTCGCTCTATTATCACTCTGTCTGTCTCTGTCTGTCTCTCTCGCTCTATCACTCTCCCTGTCGCTCTATTATCACTCTGTCTGTCTGTCTCTGTCTGTCTCTCTCGCTCTATTATCACTCTCTCTGTCTGTCTCTGTCTGTCTCTGTCGCTCTATCACTCTCCCTGTCGCTCTATTATCACTCTGTCTGTCTCTGTCTGTCTCTCTCGCTCTATTATCACTCTCTCTGTCTGTCTCTGTCTGTCTCTCTCGCTCTATCACTTTCTCTGTCTGTCTTTGTCTGTCTCTCTGTCGCTCTATCACTGTCTCTGTCTGTCTCTGTCTGTCTCTGTCGCTCTATTATCACTCTCTCTCTGTCTTTGTCTGTCTCTCTGTCGCTCTATCACTCTCTCTGTCTGTCTTTGTCTCTCTCGCTCTATCACTCTCTCTGTCTGTCTCTGTCGCTCTATCACTCTGTCTCTTTTGCTCCCTCTTGCTCTGTCTCTCTCCGTCTCTCTCTGTCTCTCTCTCCGTCTCTATCTCTGTCTCTCTCTGTCTCTCGCTCTGTCTCTCTCCATCTCTATCTGTCTCTCTCTTGCTGTCTCTCTGTCTCTCTCTCTCTCCATCTCTCTCTATCTCTCTCCGTCTCTCTCTCGCTGTCTCTCGCTCGTATACATTGTGTGTGTGTACACTGAGTGTATACATTGTGTGTGTGTGTACACTGAGTGTATACATTGTGTGTGTGTACACTGTGTATACATTGTGTGTGTGTGTGTACACTGTGTATACATTGTGTGTGTGTGTGTACACTGTGTGTATACATTCTGTGTGTGTACACTGAGTGTGTATACATTGTGTGTGTGTGCGCACTGGGTGTGTATACATTGTGTGTGTGCGCACACTGAGTGTGTATACATTGTGTGTGTACACTGAATGTGTATACATTGTGTGTGTGTGTGTACACTGAGTGTGTATACACTGTGTGTGTGTGTACACTGAGTGTGTATACATTGTGTGTGTATACACTGAGTGTGTATACATTGTGTGTGTACACTGAGTGTGTATACATTGTGTGTGTGTGTGTACACTGTGTATACATTGTGTGTGTGTGTGTACACTGTGTGTGTATACATTGTGTGTGTGTGTGTACACTGTGTGTGTATACATTGTGTGTGTGTACACTGCGTGTGTATACATTGTGTGTGTGTACCCTGAGTGTGTATACATTGTGTGTGTGTACCCTGAGTGTGTATACATTGTGTGTGTGTCTACGCTGGGTGTGTATATATTGTGTGTGTGTGTACACTGAGTGTGTATACATTGTGTGTGTGTGTGTACACTGTGTGTGTATACATTGTGTGTGTGTGTGTACACTGTGTATACATTGTGTGTGTGCACTGAGTGTGTGTACACTGCGTGTGTACACATTGTGTGTGTGCACTGAGTGTGTGTACACTGCGTGTGTACACTGCGTGTGTGTGTGTACACTGCGTGTGTGTGTGTACACTGCGTGTGTGTGTACACTGCGTGTGTGTTCACTGCGTGTGTGTGTACACTGTGTGTGTCAGCTGAAGCCGATGATAGCGGATCTGGAGTACCTGCAGGACCAGCACATCCTGCTCACCGTGCGCTCCAGCGACGGATACGAGTCCTACGGTACCACGGGGGGCGGGGGTGGGTGATGATGTGGATGTCGGTGATGGTGTTGATGTCAGCAATGGTGCCGGTCATGCTGTTGATGGTGTTGATGTTGGCGATGTGCCGGTGATGGTGTTAATGTTGGCGATGTGCTAGCCATGGTGTTGATGTTGGCGATGTGCCGGTGATGGTGTTAATGTTGGTGATGTGCTAGCGATGGTGTTGATGGTGTTGATGTTGGCGATTTGCCGGTGACGGTGTCGATGCTGGCGGTGTGCCGGTGTTGATGATGATGATGGTGGTCTCGGCGGTGATTTCGGTGACGTTGGCGGCGACGTTGATGACGGTCTTGGCGATGGTGGCGATGGTGGCAGGCGAGTGCTGCCTGGCACTCAAGTCGATGATCGGCACGACGCCGCAGCAGTTTGAGACGTTCCTGTCCCACCGCGGAGAGGAGACGGGGAACGTCCGTGGCTGGATGAAGGTTCGTGTGCCCTCGGACCGGCTGGCCACGCGCGAGCGTCTCTACGGTAAACCACCGCCACCACCGCAACCACCATCACAACCACCACAACCACCATTACCACCACCACTGCAACCACCACTCCAACCACCACCCAAACCACCATCACCACAACCACCATCACTACCGCAACCACCGCAATTACCACAACCACCATCATCGCAACAACCACCACCACTATCGCAACCATCACCGCAACCACCGCCACCACAATAACCACCACCATCGCACAACCACCACCGCAACCGCCACCATCACTGCAACCACTACAACCGCAATCACCACCACCACCGCAACATCCGCCATCGCTGCAACCACCGCCACAGCAACAACCACCACAACTGCAACGTTCACAACAACCACCAGCACTGCAGCGATGCACTTTTAAATCATCGAGATTTCAAAGTCATTTCTTTCGAACTGCTTTTAGTGTTCAGTGTTTGTTGCCCTTCCCCCGCACCTCCGATTGGCCACGGTTGGCTACGTACGGTGGTGCGAAAGAAGTTCAACACACAGACACACGTGCAACAACCACAACAACGCCACTGGGGAGACAAAGGCGGCCGGGCGTGGTGCTGGCCATCCACCCCCTCGTGTGTGCCGTGCCGGCCTTCATAGGAGCGACTCGCAAACAACACTTGCCCCGAAAAAATCTGTTAAGGCTACACGGGGGATCTTTGTGTGTGCAACGGTGTATGTGTGTGTGTGTGGGGGGAGCGGTAGTGTAATGGTTAGCATGCTCCACTCACTCACCTCACTCACTTCACTTCACTCACTCACCCACTCACTCACTCACTCCACCCACTTCACTCACTCACTCACTCCACCCACTTCACTCACTCACTCACCTCACTCACTCTACTCACTCACTCACTCCACTCACTTACTCCACTCACTCACTCACTCCACTCACTTCACTCACTCACCTCACTCACTTCACTCCACTCACTCACTCACTCCACCCACTTCACTCACTCCACTCACTCACTCACTCCACTCACTCCTCTCACTCACTCACTTACTCCACTCACTCACCTCACTCACTCCACTCACTCACTCACTCCACTCACTTACTCCACTCACTCACTTACTCCACTCACTTACTCCACTCACTCACTCCACTCACTCACTCCACTCACTCACTCCACTCACTCCACTCACTCCACTCACTCACTCACTCCACTCACTCACTCCACTCACTCACTCCACTCACTCACTCCACTCACTTCACTCACTCACCTCACTCACTCACTCCACTCACTCACTCCACTCACTCCACTCACTCACTTACTCCACTCACTCACTCACTCCACTCACTCACTCCACTCACTTACTCCACTCACTCACTCACTCCACTCACTTACTCCACTCACTTACTCCACTCACTCACTCCACTCACTCACTCCACTCACTCACTCCACTCACTCCACTCACTCACTCACCTCACTTACTCCACTCACTTAATCCACTCACTCACTCCACTCACTTCACTCACTCACTCCACTCACTCACTTCACTCACTCACTCCACTTCACTCACTCCACTCACTCCACCCACTCACTCACTCCACTCACTTACTCCACTCACTTACTCCACTCACTTACTCCACTCACTTACTCCACTCACTCACTCCACTCACTCCACTCACTCCACCCACTCACTCACTCCACCCACTCACCCACTCACTCCACTCACTCCACCCACTCACTCACTCACTCCACTCACTCACTCCACTCACTTACTCCACTCACTCACTCCACCCACTCACTCACTCCACTCACTCACGCCATCTGTTAAGGCTTCAGGGGGGATCTGTGTTTGTGTGTGTGCAGCGTGGATCAGCATCGACAACGAAGAGCACGTCTCGACGTCCAAGAAGAAGAACCCCTCACCAGCCATGCCAGGGGACCCCACAGACCCCGCCGGGTGAGGGTTGCCTACACGCTCACCACGGCACGCTCACCACATCACTCTTGCTGCCACGCTCACCACATCACCCTCACCACGGCGCTCACCACCAGGCTCACCACATCACTCTTCCTGCCACGCTCACCACGGCACGCTCACCACAGCATGCTGACCACATCACCCTCACCACCGCGCTCACCACCGCGCTCACCATCGCGCTCACCACCACCACCTCACTACCACCTCACCACCACGCTACGAACCCGACAGAGACCCAAGTTCGATTCCCGCTCACTGCCACCAACGCCAGTGACGATGAATAACAATCTTGTACAGGTGATTACACACACACACACCTCGGCAGGTGATTACACGCACACCTGTACACTGAGATCCACCACTACGGAAAATGGGAACCTGATGCACTGTGCAGTCAGCATCGCGGGGAGACAAAGGCGGCCGGGCGTGGTGCTGGCCCCTGACCTCCTGATGGGCCGTGCCGGCCTTCAACGGCGCTCCTCGCTAACGACACTTTCCCCGACAACCTGTGAGGGCTATAGGGGGAAGCTTTGTCTTTGTTTGCACCAGCCCTTCTTGGGAACGGCCACCAGCGCCGGTGACGGTTAGCTGAACCGGTCCTTGGGCCTGCCCTAGGTCGACTCGGCCTCAAATGAGTACCCGGTGTCCGGCGTGTAATAAACTTCGCCAGTGGGGGAGACAAAGGCGGCCGGGCGTGGTTGCTTGCCCCAACAGTCTGTGGAGGCTACACGGGGGACCTTTGTCTTGCACCAGGCCCGCCGGGCGCAAGCCGGGGGTCCCTGCGGGTTTGGGGGGTCCCTCGTCCTACGTCTTCATGCCTGGGAAGCCGCCGGCCCCCCAGCAGGAGGGGGGTGGGGGGCCCCCGTCCCGGGAAGGGGGCGGCAGGAAGGCGGAGCCAGGCGAGGGCCCCGGGGAGAAGGCGGCGGGGGTGGGGGCGGGGGGGGGCGGGGGTGGGGGCGGCACCGCCACCACCGCTGGTGTCTCGGTCCCCTCGGGGGTCCCCGCTGGCGAGGACCCCCACGGACGAAACGCGACTCTACGACGAGCCGGCGCAGAACCGGTAGGTGCAGCACTCGCACACATACACACAACAACAACAACCGCCATTCGCCACTAAGTGGCGGTGACGTCACCACGACGCTTGTGCCAGGCTATGTGCACCCTGAGGCCACGTGAAGTGTCGAACGCCCGCTGGCAGGAGGTCACGGGGCAGACCCAGGTGCCACGGGTCGACTGACTGAGATGACTGGCTGATGCACCACCTGTGCCCCCTACTGTGCCAACCTGCTGTGCTTTAGCCACCCGGCGCTCCGCTCGTTGTTCTGAGCGTCGCTCCTCCGCCCTCCGTTGTTGTTGGAGGGCGACTGCCTCCAACTGCCCAGTAGCATCCTTCACGAGCCTCCTCCACAGAGGCCGATCTTGACACCGCTGGTACCAGTCATCGGCAAGTCCACTCAGCTCCACGTCCTCCTGTACCACATCACTCCATCTCTTCTCTAGCCCGTGCCGCACCCGCTTAGCCCCCTCAATCCGGCCAAACAAAAGCTGTTTCGGCATGCGGTGGCTGGGCATGCGGGCTACATGACCCAGCCATCGCAGCCTTGCCTGCCGGAGGAGCTCACCGATGGGACCCTGCCCAGATGTGAGCTCCTCACACAATCCAGTCTGGTTAAACCCAGGATGGATCGTAGGCAGGCCAGCCTAAATGTTTCTAACCGGCGAAGATGTTCCATTAGGGGGGTCCACATTTCGCAAGCGTAGAGAAGGGAGGGAATGACCGTGGCCGAGAAGACCTGAAGCTTAGTGCGGAGCGACAGACCAGGTAGCTTCCACACAGCGTTACGCAACCGATGAAAAGATATTGCCGCTCGACTGATTCGGAGTGAGACCTCTGCTGTTAAACTGGAGCCAGTCATAAGCACACTGCCCAGGTATAGGAAACTCTCCACTCTCTCCACAACTGCCCCATCACCGATTGGGAGTTGTGGGGGTGGAGTGTCCGATGGTACAAAATACCCAGGCAGGTGCTTAGTTTTAGTGGGGCTGATGGTAAGGCCCCACCTCTTAGTGGCACCCTCCAGTCTCAGCAGCAGCGTCTCCAACTCCTCCTCTGACTGAGCAGCTATTACCAAATCATCAGCATACATAACGTGGTTGAGCAATAGGGAGCCATCCCTTGACCGCACCCGGGCATCGATTAGCCTCCCATTATATCTGTACCATATGGAGATTCCCCCGGTACAGCTATTGAAGGCTTCACGAACTACGTGGTCAAAATAGATGTTAAATAATGTGGGAGCCAGAGGACATCCCTGTCGCACCCCAAGGTGTACAGGGAATGGCTCTGACTCCCGGCCACGTAGTTTTACCCGGGCCCGCTCACCATCATGAAGGTCCTTAATGATCGTGAGCAGAGGGTCAGGTACTCCAAAAGCACGAAGAACGACCCAGAGCCCAGGCCTACTGATGGTATCATATGCCTTGACCAGGTCAATAAAGCAGAGATGTAGGTCTTGTTGGAATTCCCTACACCTCTGCTGTAGCAGACGGACAGAAAATATGGCATCTGTGCAGGACCGCCCTTTCCTGAAACCGCATTGGGGCTCCGCAAGCCTCTCCTCAGCGTGCCTGGCAAGGCGATGCTGAATAATCCTTGCCAGGACCTTTCCCGGCACACTGAGGAGTGAGATGCCCCTGTAGTTGTTACAGTCTGTGCGGTCCCCCTTCTTAAAAAGGGGGACCACCAGGGCATCCTTCCAATCCTGCGGAACCCGTCCAGTGGTCCAGACTGTTGTTATGATGTCATATAGGGCAGTCTGTGCACAAACGCCACCCTCCCTCAGCATTTCGCTTGGGAGATCATCTCTGCCCGCTGCCTATCCTGGTCTCAGACTCCGGATCGCCTTCAATACTTCCTCAGCAGATGGCACCTCAGCCAGCCACTCACAGGGGGTGACTTCATCCAATATTTGAGGCACCGCAGCCTCAGCAGGGTCATCCTCACTTTGTGCCACGATGTTTTCCTGGCTGAGGGATTTTCCCTCCCCCAGGACCTCACAGAAATGCTCAGCAAATATGCGAACCTGTTCCTGGGGGTCGGAAATTGGATCACCGTTTTTTCCCCTAATGATGGTAATAGGTGTGGCGCTGCAGGTTACTTTTTTGATGGAGTTAAATAGAGATTTGTGATCACGGGCCACTGAGGCAGACTCCATCTCCTCAGCAACCCGCGACCACCACCCATCCTTGCAGCGCCTCACGGCTCTCCGAACCTCCGAGCGAAGGCTGCGGTAAGCCTCCTCATTCTCTGACGTGGGATTCTGTAGCCGATGACAGTGGGCCTGTCGCTTTTTCTCAACCATCCTGAACAACTCCTCTGTCATCCAGGGTGTCTGGGGAGGTCTGGACCGCGTACCCAAAGCAGCCATTGCAGCTGCATGAGTCACAGTCCTAAACCTCGCCCATTTACCCTCGACATCAGGAGGAGTCGGGGACGATGTCAATCCCAGCCGCAAGCGATGATGAAATTCTCGCTTGCAACTTTCATCAGATAACTGAGACCAGGCCACTTTAGGTTGGAAAGGGGTCCTGGGTGTACATCCACCACCGGAGTGGAAGAATGGCAGGCGCATCTTACAGATGACTAGTCGATGGTCAGAGGGCAGATCAGCTCCACGGTAGGTCCTGGTGTCAAGGACATGGGCTCGCATTCGCTGGTCCGTCACTATGTAGTCCAGCAGATGTTCTTGCTTGGACCCGGCATGCATCCATGATGTTGTGTGGATGTGCCGATGCCGGAACAGCGTGTTGGTAATTACAAGCCCATGGGCTGCACAAAAATCTAGCAGCCTCCTACCGTTGTTATTGAGCTGATCTGGCCCATGCCCTCCAATCACTCCAGACCAGGTGCCAGTATCATGACCAACTCGGGCATTGAAGTCACCCAACATGATGACTCTATCTCGAGGGGCCACTTTAGCCAGCACCTGTGACAGGAGGTCATAGAAGGCATCTGACTCATCGGCTTTGCCTGCATCCCTCCACGGATGTTCATCTTCGGTGGGGGCATAAGTAACCACGACCACCATTCCTCGCCTCCGGTTGATGGGAAGGCGAGCCCAAAGTAGCCTGGGGCTTACAGCTTCCCACACCTCACCGCCACGCTCCCACGCCCCCTTCATTCTTTTGTTCAAAAGAAGACCCACACCCTGTTGTTTGGCAGTCTGCTGCCCCGAGTAGAGGACTGTCCACCCCTCATGGTGGCAGGAGCCAGAGCCGGTCCACCGGACCTCCTGAATGCCGCATAGATCCAGGCGGGTACCGGTCCAGCTCCCGACAGAGGAGTGGCAGCCTCTCCTCTGCAATGAGCGTTCGAACATTCCACGTGGCCACCCGTAGTGGCTTTTCGTTGTTTCTGGAGTAGCCCCGAGGGTAGGTATTCAATCTCCTGGCTCCGCCAATTGGGGTTTGGCCAGGAGACGTCATAGACGCCTGGCCCCCCGGGGCCTCCGGCACAAGCTTAGTTGTTACATATTTCAGTTTAATTCGTGGTTTCGTGGTAATTAATTGAAGGTGGAGGGGTTACCAGCCCCTCGCACCCGTCCAGAGCCCCTGTTTAGCCCCTGTGGTGGACACATATGCCATGAGGGGAGGAGCCAATCAAAATTGGATCTCCCCCCACAGCGCTGTCCACGACAGAGTTGCCCGTCCGGCACCGCGAGGAGGTAGGGGGTTGTTTTGTACACACACAAGTGTGTGTGTGTGTACACGTGTGTGTGCGTGTACACACGTGTGTGTGTACACACGTGTGTGTGTGTACACGTGTGTGTGTGCGTGTACACGTGTGTGTGTACACGTGTGTGTGCGTGCGTGTGTCCACACCGCACCACCACGACTCGCTCACCGCCCCCACCATCCCCCACCCCCCCAGGTCGAAGGCGGAGGCCGAGTCGGCCCCGGCAAAGATCAGCATCGACAACCCCAACTACTTTATCCTCTTCCCCGGCTCGCCGGTGCCAAGCATCCCCACCGGCGCCCCGCCGGCGCCGCCGGCGCCGCCCGCCGCGGGCGACGTCGCCTACCAGGCCCCGGCCCCCGCCCCCGCGAGGGCCGACGCCTCGGCGGACGGCGCCGGCTCGGCCCGGCTGCCCACGCCGGCCCCGCGGACGCGGGGGGGCCCCCGGCACGGCGCCGGGGCCGCGGCGCCGGTCGCCGGGGAGAACGGCGGCGACGGCGAGGAGGAGAACGGCGACGGCTGCCCCTCGCCGAACCGGCCGCCGCCGGACTACCCCCCGCCCCCGCTACCGGGCGGCGAGGCCCGGGGAGCGGCCGCCCCCCTGCGTGGAGGCCCCGGCGGCGCCGCGCCGGCCGCGGCGCACGACCACGACCTCGGCTGGGACGCGGAGGCGACGGCGGAGGGCCTCTGCTACGAGATGGAGTCAATACGGGAGGACGAGGAGGAGGACGAAGACGAGGAGGAGGACGAAGAGGACGAGGAGGAGGGGGGGCGGCGGCGGCGGCAGAGGGGGGGGGGCGGCTGGCAGGGCGGCGGTCGCGCCGTGGACACGCGCAGCGTGCTGGGGCTCGTTGCCGACCAGCTGATGTTCGTTAGCCGGGCCCGCCCGGAGCGGCCCGGCGGTCCCCCGGGCCTCCCGGGCCCCCGGCCTCCGGCGGAGACGCGTCCCGCCGACGACCGCTCGTGGTTCGCCCTGCAGATGGCCAAGTCGCTGTACGAGGGCGACGCGGCGGGGACGGCCCCCCGCGGGCCCGCCGGGGAGGCCGCCCCGGCCCCCGACGGGGAGGAGGGCCGCCGGCGCACGGCCAGGGGGGGCCCCCGGGCCGTGGGCCACTGGCTCGGGGCGTTGGGGCTGGAGGCGTACGAGGCGGCGCTCGTGAGGAACGGCTGGGACGACGTCGACTACCTGGGGTGCGTGCGGGGACGCCGGCGGGGGACGCACCCTCGCACAAGCGCACACACACACTTGCGCACAGCGACACGCAGACACACACAACAACAACAACAACAACCGCCATTCGCCACTAAGTGGCGGTGACGTCACCACGACGCTTGTGCCAGGACATGTGCACCTTGAGGCCACGTGGAGTGTCGAACGCCCGCTGGCAGGAGGTCACGGGGCAGACCCAGCAGGTGCCACGGGTCGACTGAGATGACTGGCTGATGCACCACCTGTTGCCCCCTACTGTGCCAACCTGCTGTGCTTTAGCAACCCGGCGCTCCGCTCGTTGTTGTGAGCGTCGCTCCTCCGCCCTCCGTTGTTGTTGGAGGGCAACTGCCTCCAACTGCCCAGTAGCGTCCTTCACGAGCCTCCTCCACAGAGGCCGATCTTGACACCGCTGGTACCAGTCATCGGGAAGTCCACTCAGCTCCACGTCCTCCTGTACCATATCACTCCATCTCTTCTCTAGCCCGTGCCGCGCCCGCTTAGCCCCCTCGATCCGGCCAAACAAAAGCTGTTTAGGCATGCGGTGGCTGGGCATGCGGGCTACATGACCCAGCCAACGCAGCCTCGCCTGCCGGAGGAGCTCACCGATGGGACCCTGCCCAGATCTTTCAAGGATGTGAGCTCCTCACACAATCCAGCCTGGTTAAACCCAGGATGGATCGTAGGCAGGCTAGCCTAAATGTTTCTAACCGGCGAAGATGTTCCATTAGGGGGGGGTCTACGTTTCGCAAGCGTAGAGAAGGGAGGGAATGACCGTGGCCGAGAAGACCTGAAGCTTAGTGCGGAGCGACAGATCAGGTAGCTTCCACACAGCGTTACGCAACCGATGAAAAGATATTGCCGCTCGACTCATTCGGAGCGAGACCTTTGCTGTTAAACTGGAGCCAGTCATAAGCACACTGCCCAGGTATGGGAAACTCTCCACTCTCTCCACAATTGCGCCATCATCGATTGGGAGTTGTGGGGGTGGAGTGTCCGATGGAACAAAATACCCAGGCAGGTGCTTAGTTTTGGTGGGGCTGATGGTAAGGCCCCACCTCTTAGTGGCACGCTCCAGTATCAGCAGCAGCGTCTCCAACTCCTGCTCTGAATGAGCAGCTATTACCAAATCATCAGCATACATAACGTGGTTGAGCAATACACGCACAGCGACACGCACAGCGACACGCACAGCGACACACACAGCGTCACACACAGCGACACGCACAGCGACACGCACAGCGACACACACAGCGACACCCACAGCGACACGCACAGCGACACCCAGGCGTGCCGTCAGCTCCCGCCGCCGTGTCACCTGCAGGGATCTCACCGTGGACGACCTGGAGGAGGTGGGGGTCGCCGACCCCGAGCACCAGCGCCTCATCCTTCTCAACCTCCCGGCGCCGGCGAGCGACACGTGACTCTGCCACGCCGCCGCCGCCGCCGCCGCGGCGCTCGACAGCCGCGGCGCCCCCCACCCGCCCCCCCCCATGCGTTGAACCGGCACCGCCATGCTGCTCCTGCTGCTGCTGCTGCTGCACGGCTGCTTGGGTTCTATTTCCCGGCGAGGAGCGGTGCGGGTTCCTTCAAATCTCCCTCCCTGCCCGCCCGCCCGCCCGGCCCGCACCTCTATCCGCCGCACGAGCAGCAGCAGCAGCAGCAGCAGGAGCAGGATCAGGAGCAGCAGCAGGAGCAGCAGGAGCAGCAGGAGCAGCAGCAGCAGCAGGAGAAGCAGCAGCAGGAGCAGCAGCAGCAGCAGGAGCAGCAGCAGCAGGAGCAGCAGCAGGAGCAGCAGCAGCAGCAGGAGCAGCAGCAGCAGCAGCAGGAGCAGCAGGAGAAGCAGCAGCAGGAGAAGCAGCAGCAGCAGCAGCAGGAGAAGCAGCAGCAGCAGGAGAAGCAGCAACAGCAGAAGCAGCAGCAGCAGCAGGGGCAGCAGCAGCAGGAGAAGCAGCAGCAGGGGCAGCAGCAGCAGGAGCAGCAGGAGCAGCAGCAGCAGCCCGGCAAAGCATGGTGCCCACGGGTTCTCTCCCGAGGCGTCTCCCGGCAGCTGGTGCAGGCCACTTCCGCCAGCGGTGGCAATTTGCAGGGCTGTGCCTTCACGGTTTTTTATTATTTTTATTTTCTCCCAACCCCCCCCCTCCACTACACGATGTTGACCTGCACTTATGGCTCTGGATAATCAACGTGGAGTGCCCACCACCACCACCACCACGGAGGGGAAGGAGGAGAGCCCCCCCCGACGCGGAGATCAAAACGCTAACGCCGCGAAGGCCGCCGGCTGAATGGCGTTTTAACTTTTGTTGACAGCGGTTACAGCAAACAGCGTTTGGAGATTCCCCTCTCTCGCGGGGGCGGGGAAGTGACGTCGCACGTGCGCAAAGCACTGTGGGTATTTGCCATGGTTTCGTCGGTTGCTGAGGCGCCAGCCCCCCCCCCCCCCCCCCCGAGGGCCAAAGACTTTGAACGGCCAGCGACAAACGGCACCCGTTTTGAAGTTGAGGGAGGCGTTTGAAGCGCGTCTCTGCTGCTGCTGCTGCTGCTGCGAGGAGAGTCGCCCGACCTTGAAGAAGGGACGGTGACCGGGAGTAAATACTCATGGGGCTGTCATTCTCATGGCGCGGGAGGGGGGAGGGGGGAGAGCGCCACTCCTCGCTCTGTGTGTCTGCCGGAGCCCTCTCGGCGTGGACACGGCGGCGGCGGCGGCGGCATCCACATTGGGCACCCGGCGTCTCAACATGGTTGCCAAACGCAGGAAGAAGGATACGAGACCCACGGAGATACGTAGAGACCCACAGAGATGCACACAGAGACACACAGAGACCCATAGACATGCACACAGAGACCCATAGACATGCACACAGAGACCCACAGAGACACACAGAGACCCACAGAGACGCACACAGAGATGCACACAGAGACCCACAGAGATGCACACAGAGACCCACAGAGACCCATAGACATGCACACAGAGACCCATAGACATGCACACAGAGACCCACAGAGACACACAGAGACCCACAGAGACGCACACAGAGATGCACACAGAGACCCACAGAGACCCATAGACATGCACACAGAGACCCACAGAGATGCACAGAGATGCACACAGAGACCCACAGACATGCACACAGAGACCCATAGAGATGCACACAGAGACCCACAGAGATGCATTCATGACAGCCACAGTTCTGCGTCTGTGGCCATGCATCACGCACTGCGGAGTGCACAGTAAACCCATAGATACAGAGACCCATAGAGACCCATAGAGACCCATATATAGATACATAGAGACCCATATATAGATACACAGAGACGCATAGACCCATATATAGAGACACAGAGACCCATAGAGACACCCCACAAAGACCGTCTGGCATGGCGTGGGCTTGTTGCGGCCTTATGCTCCACAGGAAGCGCACAGTAAACACAGAGATACATAGAGATGCATAGAGATACACAGATACAGAGATACACAGAGATGCAGAGATGCATTAGTGACCCCACTGTGGTCCGCGCTCCTTCAACGGCCGAGGCGCAGGAGGAGAGAGAGTGACACTCCACGCTCCCTCTCGGCTGGAGCTCCCTCTCGGCTGGAGCCCTCTCTCGGCTGGAGCTCTCTCTCGGCTGGAGCTCTCTCTCGGCTGGAGCTCTCTCTCGGCTGGGGCTCTCTCTCGGCTGCGGCTCTCTCTCGGCTGGAGCTCTCTCTCGGCTGGAGCTCTCTCTCGGCTGGAGCTCTCTCTAGGCTGGAGCTCTCTCTCGGCTGGGGCTCTCTCGGCTGGGGCTCTCTCTCGGCTGGAGCTCTCTCTCGGCTGGAGCTTTCTCTCGGCTGGGGCTCTCTCTCGGCTGGGGCTCTCTCTCGGCTGGAGCTCTCTCTCGGCTGGAGCTCTCTCTCGGCTGGAGCTCTCTCTCGGCGTGGACACGGCAGCGGCGCTGCTAAAACGCAACGACGACAGGAGGACTACGGCTCTCACTACGTACGGGAAGACGCTGCTGCGTTTCACGTGGAGCGTAAGTCTGGGGGGGGGGCGCGTGATCTTGCCAAAGCGAGTGATTTTGGGGAGCTATGTTACGCAATCAGAATCTTCATTTAGGCTGCAGGAGGAATCCAATGAGCGATGTGAAGCTCCTTTTTCACAGATGGACCGAGAGACGCCACAAACGCTACCCCTTGGGGTTCACGATTCCCCCTGGGAGCAACGTCAGTATTAACCCGGGGCGGGCGGCGGCGGCACGGCTGCCTCCGGCTCTTCGGCGTGGAATGCCGAAACAAATTCTGGCCGCAGTACCAGCGCCAGAGTGGGGGGCCACCACTATCCAGGCTCAAGGAGAGCCGCGGACCTGGGAGCACAGCAGCCAAATGGCGCCCATCCCGAGCACTATCCAGGCTCAACGCTGCTTAGCTTGCGAGGCGCCCGTTGTTGGAGCCCCGTGCCTCTCGCTTGCTCGCCTGCCCGCGGTTGACCGGGCCTCACCCCTTCAGACTCGCACACACATTCGCACGCCCATGCGTCCACTCGCGCCACTGTGATGCTCGGAGGAGCCGCAGCCCCTTGGCACACACAGCTGCTCTGTAATGCCTCGCCACCGGGCACCCCTATGACGCTGCCTCCCCCCCCCCTAATTTCCAGCGGTGCCACTCGCCGGTTGCGGCACCGCAGATGCTGAACACTGGCACGGAGGGGCGTGGTGCCAGGGCGTGTGAGGACGGTGTTGCCTGACCAGTGTTATACTCGTGATGAAGACTGTGACGTGCTAATGAAGATGGTTTGTGGGCGGGGATGACCGCTCGCTCGCGCAATGCCTCGTGACCACCGACTCACCCGCCAGCTCGCTTGCCCACTCATTCGCTGTCACCTGCCCTCGCGTACAATGCCTCGCCCACAATGCCTCGCCCACAAGCTCATGGATTCACCAACCCGCTCGACACTCGCTGGCACCGGCGAGGCCACGTGCCTTCACCAGCACCGCCGCCGTTGGCCCGTGGGAGAGCGCTGTGGGGTATTGTATGCCAGCGGTTCGTGCCGTCGGCGCGTCACGTTTGTGCAGCTGCCACTCTGCGTGTGCGAGCGACCCGCCTGTTACACACAAGCACCCTGTTCTCATTCGCGTTCCGTTTTGTTTGTAAATACGCGCGGCCTTAACTTTCACAGCTGCCTGTCGCGTGGACGGTGTGGACTCGTGCGCTGTACGTTCGTGCGATGTACCGCACCTGTCTCAGCCGCCCTGGAGCGACCTTCCTCCCACCGGGGGCCATGCGAACGCCACCGTGCCATCCTTGCACTAACACCACCCAACCTCCACTGAATCAATAAAGTACGGAACGGAACGCCTCCACTTGCTCCCAGAGCTTTCCTTTATTGGCACAAAGTTGGGCGCTTACAAAAAAAACAACTCGCAGGTCGTCGTTTACTGATCCACAGGCACAGCACCGATCCACAGGCACAGCACCGATCCACAGCCACAGCACCGACCCCCCAGCCCTGCGCTCACAAGGAGTGGGCGGTCAGCACAGCCCCACTTACCAACCCCCCCCGGCGGCCACCGTGAAAGTTCAATCCAATGCCCAGGCCGAGCAACTGTGGCCGATGCTGTCGAGCGACTGCGGCGGGCTCCTCGGGTTCTGATGGTGCGGGCCGAGCAGGGCCGGGCAGGGCCGGGCCGGGCAGGGCAGGGCCGGGCAGGGCCGGGCAGGGCCGGGCAGGGCCGGGCAGGGCCGGGCAGGGCCGGGCAGGGCCACCCCCCCCACACCGCCACCTCACATGGGGAATCCGGCGGGTCCCAGCGCCGCCTCGCAGTGCCCGGCGAGCTCCTGCAGCTTGATGCGCACGTGCTCCACGCGGTGCAGCGCCGTCAGCGCGTCCTTGCGGGCGCCGTAGCTGGAGCCCTCGTGCGGCTGCCCCGTCGCCACCTGCGGGCGCGCAAGGCCAACGGGTGCCGACGCCGTAGACTTTGACGCGCGCCGGGGCAGGCGACGTCAGCGGACTGGGCCCGCTGCGTCTCTTGGCGGAGGTGCGACCGGAAGTACCGGTCCCTCCGCCGCCTGCGTCTCTCTCCCCCCCCCCCCCCCCCCCCCCCCCCCCCCAAGTACCGCCGATGTTTACGCGCCGCGCCGGGCACTGATTAAAGGCCGAGTCGACCTAAACGGAGGCCCTGGACCGGTTCAAGTTATTCGTCGCCGACGTTGGGGCCGTGAACGGGAATGGAACCGCTGGGCTCGTCACGCGGTCCGCTGACGGACACGCAGCACGCTTCCCCCACGCTTCCCCCACGCTTCCCCCACGCTTCCCCCACGCTTCCCCCACGCTTCCCCACGCTTCCCCCACGCTTCCCCCACGCTTCCCCCACCCCCCCCCCCGGCTACCCGCGGTGCCCCCCCCCCACCTGTGCCAGGTAGCGGATGTGTCCCGTGAGCTCGCCCTCCACGCGCTGCAGACTCTGCTGGAACTGCGCGGTCAGCTTCTCCAGCTGCCGCTCGTTGGGTTTGTCCTTCGCGAGCTCCTGCAAGGCGCAGCCTGCACACAACCGTGGGGCGATGAGTCTCCGGCAACCCCGGGCAACTCGCCACAAGCAACATAGGAGCAACCCAAGGAAAATCCACACGACCACCGGGCAGAGAGAGAGAGAGAGACGCAGACTCCAAATATACAGCAGCAGGCGTCAGGGGTCAGCATCGAACCCATGACCTCCGGTGTACCAGGCGAGGTAGGTAACAGCTCACCACCGGCTTTAGTGAGCTCCTGTATGGCGCAACGTGCACACACACACACAGTGTTACAGTCACCACAGACAACTCACCACAACCTACACCCTCACACACACGAAGTGTTACAGTCACCACAGACAACTCACCACAACCTACACCCTCACACACACGCAGTGTTACAGTCACCACAGACAACTCACCACAACCTACACCCTCACACTCACGCAGTGTTACAGTCACCACAGACAACTCACCACAACCTACACCCTCACACACACACTCAGTGTTACAGTCACCACAGACAACTCACTACTCACTACAACCTACACACTCACACTCACTCAGTGTTACAGTCACCACAGACAACTCACTACTCACTACAACCTACACACTCACACACACACAGTGTTACAGTCACCACAGACAACTCACCACAACCTACACCCTCACACACGCAGTGTTACAGTCACCACAGACAACTCACCACAACCTACAACCTCACACAGTGTTAGTCACCACAGACAACTCACCACAACCTACACACTCACACACGCAGTGTTACAGTCACCACAGACAACTCACCACAACCTACACCCTCACACAGTGTTAGTCACCACAGACAACTCACCACAACCTACACCCTCACACACACGCAGTGTTACAGTCACCACAGACAACTCACCACAACCTACACACCCTCACACTCACAGTGTTACAGTCACCACAGACAACTCACTACAACCTACACCCTCACACACGCAGTGTTACAGTCACCACAGACAACTCACCACAACCTACACCCTCACACACACGCAGTGTTACAGTCACCAGACAACTCACCACAACCTACACCCTCACACGCAGTGTTACAGTCACCACAGACAACTCGCCACAACGTACACCCTCACTCACACGCAGTGTTACAGTCACCACAGACAACTCACCACAACCTACACCCTCACACACACACTGTTACAGTCACCACAGACAACTCACCACAACCTACACACACACACGCAGTGTTACAGTCACCACAGACAACTCACCACAACCTACACACCCTCACACACACAGTGTTACAGTCACCACAGACAACTCACCACAACCTACACACACACACGCAGTGTTACAGTCACCACAGACAACTCGCCACAACCTACACCCTCACACACACACGCAGTGTTACAGTCACCACAGACAACTCACTACAACCTACACCCTCACTCACACGCAGTGTTACAGTCACCAGACAACTCACCACAACCTACACCCTCACACACACAGTGTTACAGTCACCACAGACAACTCACCACAACCTACACACACACACGCAGTGTTACAGTCACCACAGACAACTCACCACAACCTACACACCCTCACACACACAGTGTTACAGTCACCACAGACAACTCACCACAACCTACACACACACACGCAGTGTTACAGTCACCACAGACAACTCGCCACAACCTACACCCTCACACACACACGCAGTGTTACAGTCACCACAGACAACTCACTACAACCTACACCCTCACTCACACGCAGTGTTACAGTCACCAGACAACTCACCACAACCTACACCCTCACACACACGACACAACACGACAACACAACACGGCACGACACCACGCGACACAACACAACACACCACGACACACAATAAGACACCACACGACACGACACCACACAACACGACACAACAAGACACACCACGACACAACACGACAACACGACACACACCACGACACACAACACGACACGGCACGACACCACACCACACAACACACCACGACACACAACACAACACGTGCGCCGCGCGAAACAACTTGAGGAGAAAGCGGGCGAGAGACGGTGGGGGTGGTGGTGGTGGCGAGAGACGGGGGTGGTGGTGGTGGGGGAGACAAAGGCGGCGGGGGGTACCTGCGTGCTGCAGCACGTTGGCGATCTCGCGCTCCACCTCCTCAAGGCTGCGGAGTCGCTCGTTCGCGCCTCCCAGAGTCGCCATCACCGCCGCCTCCTCCTCGCCGGGGACGCTTGCGGTGACGTCATCCCCCACCACGGCGGTGACGTCATCCCCCACCACGGCGGTGACGTCATCTTCCGCCTCGATGAAAAAAGCGGCGGACGCCATCCGCGAGATACAGCCGTGGTGACGTCGTGTCGGGTTTATATACAGCAATGACGTCTCACGCAGGCGTGGTGACGTCGGCAAGATATATACAACAATGACGTCATCGTGTCAGCCGTGGTGAGGTCGGGCCGGATATATACAGCAATGACGTTACCCTCACACACAGGGCCGTGGTGACGTCAAAAACAATTAATACAATAGTGACGTCATCGTGCACAGCAAGTTTCATTTAGATTTGAAGCTTTCGTGACTGCAAGAATTCATACTCTTTGGTTTTATTCGGTAAAGTCACGTAGGTAAAAAAAATTAAATAAAAGGAACAGAACTGTCGGGACGACAGCACTTCAATATTTTATTTTAATTTGTTTTTTTACCTACGTGACTTTACCGAATAAAACCAAAGAGTAAGTTTAATTTATTTTCAAGTTTTTGTTTGAGCCATGCGGCTCTTAAGTCGGGTGCAAACCGCAACAGGCAAAATGTGAACAGAGAAACGTCGCGGATAAAACCCAGCAAGACGACAAATCTCACAACAACAAAAAAACTCATTGAATTGTTGGACGGGCAAGGATGGATCATGACATTCGTACATTACTGTGAACGATTCAATGTTGACCGTGGGCCAAGTTAATTTACTTAACGTGAAAACTGACGATGTTAATTTGACCCTCAAACCTCCAGCTGCCACTTGCCTCTCAGCGCGTGAATTGCACGACAGGCCACCAAACTTGCACACATCAGCTTCCGATTGACATATCGCGCATTCCACCGACGAGCAACTGGAAAAAAAAAGTTGAGTTCGCTGTCATTCAGGACTCCGTCGTTGTTCTGGTTCCGATTATTCTGGCAATTCGTGTCGGGGCCTTGACGCAGGCTGGCTTGCAGTAGGGTGGAGCGGTGGGATGGCTTAGCACTGCACGCAGGTCTCAATCTACGTGTACTGGTTCATGATAGGCAGGATGGCCTCCGTGGTGCTGTGGTCCACCACGTCAGACTTGTTACCAACCAGTAATAAAAATTACAGCGCTAAAAATTACAGCACTAAAAATCACAGTAATAAAAATTACAGCACTAAAATTTACAGTACTAAAAATTACAGTACTAAAAATTACAGTAATACAAATTACAGAACTGAAAATGACAGTAATTTTGCTGGAATTTTGCTGGAGCAGCCACCTCATGACGGAGGCTTGTGATGCCTTCGAAACGTCGTGATGTAATTGAGTTGTTAAATGGTTTCTTATTTATTTAATTTATTTATTTACATACGTGACTTTACCGAAAGAACCAAACAGTATAAACAAAGACTCACACAACAACAACACAAATATAAAGCACGAAACGTACGTTAAATTTTGATTTAAAGCTTTCGTGACTGCAGTAATTCATATTCTTAGCTCGTTCGGTAAAGTCACGTTGAAGGGAAACAATAAAATAATAAAATATATATAAAACAATAAACATTCTCACGACGTTTCGACCATAACACGTTTGTGTCATGGTCAACGTGACTTTACCGAAAGAGCTAAATAGAAACGTACGTTGTCCGTGACCAGGTAAAGTCCACTTCCTCCACGTGCTGAGTTTTCCAGAATCGACCCGGCCACACGATGACAGCCCGGCAAAGTCGCTCGACGTCGTCGTCATCGTCAATGTGTACATGTTTATAGCAGCATACAAAGAATCTCGAGACTCTAAACGCGCGGTGATGTTGTTGATTCCCTAACGGAGGACCCGGAGAAGAAAAATCCAAGCGAGCACGGGGAGAGAGAGACGCAGACTCCGAATCTACAGCAGCAGCAGGCATCATCAGGGTTGGGATGGAACCCACGACCTCCTGTACACCAGGCGAGGTAGTTAACATCTCCTAGCCACCGTGATGGAGATGATGATGAGAGAGAGAGAGAGAGACGCAGACTCCGAATCTACAGCAGCAGCAGGCATCATCAGGGTTGGGATGGAACCCACGACCTCCTGTACACCAGGCGAGGTAGTTAACATCTCCTAGCCACCGTGATGATGATGATGAGAGAGAGACGCAGACTCCGAATCTACAGCAGCAGCAGCAGGCATCGTCAGGGTTGGGATGGAACCCACGACCTCCTGCATACCAGGCGAGGTAGTTAACATCTCCCAGCCACCGTGATGCCCAATTGTTCACATGACAAGCCTGACTCATTAGCTGTGCGGAGGTGGAGGTGGAGGGTCACGACACAGTTTCTCTAAATGCAGCAGCAGATCATCGATTATCCAGCGGTCCCGGGCCGATCCGACTGTAACCAGTCCGGCGATCGGTAGCACCATGCGCGTGACAAAAAAAAATCAGAGGTAGCTTCGCTGGATGTCGGTGTCAAATATATTACACTGCATTATACACTAAATGCAAACAGCTTAAGCAATGAAAGTACTGGACGTGGCATGCATTGTTTCACGACTGATAACGACAGGAGTGGAGAACAGAAAATAAACACGGGTGCGATCCGCGCTAGGTGGCGTGAATATGCATGGTGCTTCAAAAAAATGTGAACACTTCGGAGAATTTGCAACAATAACCACGAGAAATGTTCCTCCTCCGGCCTCTGGAGACCACCTGGAGAAGATTCCAGGCGTGTGCTGACAATGACGGCGAACAAGTGGAGATTCTTTGACTTTCTGAAGCTATTAATATTACATTGATGATCATGCTACAATGTATTATTAAACGATAAAATTCTCACGACGTTTCGACTGCAACACAAGCAGTCGAAACGTCGTGAGAATTTTATTGTTTTATATATGTTTTATTATTTTATTGTTTCCCTTCAACGTGACTTTACCGAAACAACTAAGAATATGAATCACTGCAGTCGCGAAAGCTTTAAATCAAAATTCAAGATGAAAACCTTTCGTTCATATCCGCATCTCCAGTTTTTTTCAACCTTCCTACTCGCAGCTCTGCTCACTTCCAAAGCCCCGGCATATTCTGTCGCAATGTCCCAGCTTGTGGAGCACTCCACTCTCCATGCCCAACACCCCCACCAACTCTTCAGATCTCCTACCTGGCTCCTTCACCCCCCCCCGCCCCCCCGTGGAAAACGTTTTGTTGGTTTGGCCATGTTTGTTTTGTTGTAGTACGGAGTTAGACTGATGGCCTTAGTCTAAGTTGTCTTGTGGTTGTTGTTGTTGTTTGACTTGAATCCCACTGGGATGTTTTGCACACAGCGTTGGTGGTGTACGGTGCTTTATTTTTTCAGGAATATTTTGCTGTGTTTTTTGTCTTGGATTTTCTGTTTGCACAGTCACACAAAGTCACTTTAAGATGTTTTCCTTGTTCGTGTTTTAGTTTTTTTGTTTGTTGTGGTTGCACCCGATTCAAGAGCCGAATGGCTCACAGGGCTATACCAAAATAAATCAAACTGAAACTGAAAACTGAAAATCAACTGTCTCTTAACTATATAGCCCCTATATAATACTGGTAGGAACGAAGTTGTAAACTGAGTGTACCAGCCTGCAATAGATTAATGTGTCCGTCCGTCCGTCCCCTTTCAATACTTTAACGAAGTTAAATCTCGTGCTGTTGGGTGTAAAATCAGCAATAGACAGCGCAGAGACTTGATATGTCTTATAAAATTGCGCAAAATTCCAATGTTCCTACCAGCCCACCCTGCAGGGACCTGTTTGATTCTTTCAGTAAAGTCACGTTGAAGGGAAACAATAAAATAATACAAATATTAAACAATACAATTCTCACGACGTTTCGACTGCAACACAAGCAGTCATCACCGAAAGAACCAAGAATATGTGTTCATCTTGATTTTGAAGCTTTCGTGACTGCAAGGAATCCACACACTTTGGTTATTTCGGTAAAGTGACGTAGGTAGAAAAATAAAATTAAATCACGACGTTTCAGGCGCAACACAAGCGTCCGTCATCAGGTGGGAATAGCTTGGGTTGCGCCCGAAACGTCGTGATTCATCTTATATTATACCTACGTGACTTTACCGAAAGAACGAAAGAGTACAGTTAGGGTTTTACCTGGTTAATAACATCCTTCCAATGATTGCTCAATTTGTATCCATCTTCTCGGGTTGAAGTTACGGCTGTGTTTATGTATCTGGATGGCTTCATGAACAAACCTTTGACAGTAGCCCGGCGGTTTGCAGAGCACCTTGGTCTCGGAATAAAAAAAACAATATCGTGAGAGCCCACAGCGGTTATAGCAGTGGTCAGCCACGGCGGAGGAATTAGTTCTGCCGTGTTTCAGATCTGACTTGTGCTCGCCAACACGGTCCGAGTCACGCATCGTCACAATTGTTCGACCCCACCCCCTCCCCCCCTAGGTGCGTGACGTCATTTATGGACGGCCCCTTAACCCCCGATCGTGCTTGTTAATAAAGAAATGCCTCCAACTCTTAGTGTCTCCGACTTAGTCACTATGCCAGTAACGAATTGGCACGTTCTGTTCACGTGACAAACCTTACTAATTGGCTGTGTCGGGTGGTGGCGGGTTTAACGACACATATATATTTACACGCTCTAACCCGACAAACCTTATTGATTGAAGGCAGTTACTTTTTTTACAGCGGGATATGTATTTTTTCTGTCTGTTGACAATTTTATAGAGAAAACATTTTAAAACACGAAAACAACAACAACAAACTTCAAAACGTGTCATGCAAGAATGTGCAAAAAAATATTATTTTAAATATTAACGTGACTACCCGGAGTGTTTGAACATCTGTAGGTGGTGGTGATGACATTGGAGCCTCCATCTAGCAGTGGATAGACCCTAGCTCGTGGTGGTGGTGGTGGTGATGTTGGGGCCTCCATCCAGCGGTGTATATAGACCCTGGCTCGTGGTGGTGGTGATAATGTGGAGGCCTCCATCCAGCGGTGGATAGACCCTGGCTCGTGGTGGTGATGTGGAGGCCTCCATCCAGCGGTGGATAGACCCTGGCTCGTGGTGGTGGTGATAATGTGGAGGCCTCCATCCAGCGGTGGATAGACCCTGGCTCGTGGTGGTGATGTGGAGGCCTCCATCCAGCGGTGGATAGACCCTGGCTCGTGGTGGTGAT